GCACAAACTTAGGTGCAATTTCCTCCTTTGTGGTAGAAATTTAATCTAAGCTATGTGATGAAAACGGGGAGTAGGAAAAGGAGATCTGTCTATTTTTAGCCCACCTGTCCTTGCACTATACAGCGAAAAAGAGCACATGAGTCTTCAGTCCTATATTCCTGGGAGAAAGCCCCATCGAAGACATCTATGTCCAAATAAAAATGAACTGTGAGTCTTCATTAGGGCTGGGTGAATACACCATTTTTGCAATAGCTCAGAATCTCAGAACAACCCTGCGAAGCGAAGCATCCCTTTGACCCATGTTTGGGCTTTCATGTCATTCACGTATGAAAAAGCGTGCATTTTGAACAGGGAAAAGACATGCATTGTGGAAAGTGCACCAAAACACACATTTCCCCACCCTTAGAGTATAACATCAGAATGCGCCTTATCAAAAAGAAATTTGTCTCTCTGTTGGATTGATTTCAATACTGCTCAACAGCTGAAATCCTCTGGGTGGTTCACAGAAGCACATAAAAACAACAACAATAAAATATACACTGTGTAAAAACATTAAACATCATGAAAAGTTTGCAATACAACATTTAAATCTACAAGATGTACTTTTTAAAACTGCAAAGGCAAGTTCAGAACTTGTTCCCATTTTCACATTTGAGTCCACGAATGGAACATGTCCCCATGATCCGTGAACGTAAACGAAATTCTCCCACACCTCTGGTCAGTCTCAGCCGGCCATAACGCGTTGCTTTCCAGGTGCCTTGGACTACCACTCCCACCATCTCCAAGCAGACTGGGAGTCTGACCCCTCTGGAGGGCCCGTGATTGGGATCGCCCAGTCTGCATGCTGGAACAAGGAAAGGCGAACCTTTTCAGCCCATGGGCCCACCTGGCAAGCTGGAGACATAAAGTGATGCTGCAGGTCTTTTCAAGGGAGAGGATGGATAGGGCTGCTTCAAGTGGTGAATTACGCACAGGCCTCAGCTGAAGCGTCACGCCAAAGAAAATCTGATGCAAAACAGGAAGGTTCAGAGCGCAAGCCCAGCCCGTAGTTTGGCCAGGTATGAATGAGGAGGGGAGTGAGAAAGGGAGAATGCCAGAAGTCTCTGCTCAACGTCGCTACTGTCATGGGAGCCCTGTCTTTTTTTCCTTGGCCACCCCCCCACCCCAAGTGCTTCCGCACCGTTTCCTTCACTGCTCCCTGGCAGCTCCCACAAATCAGTCCCTGCGTGCCCCCGGCTTCCTGCCTGGAGGACACCCATCACCAAATGCTCCCAGCAATGGGGCTGTGCCCCTGCTTCTGCACTGCCCCACAGTGCAGGGGGATGCCCTCCCCACAGTGCCTGGGCAGCGGGGTGAGGGACCTCCTACCCTTGCCTTAGGCAAAGAGCAAAGTACACCCACCTTCACACCCCACCCCAACCCCACGAAGCATCGATGAACGTGGCGGCGTGGGATTCTGCAGCTTCTACATTGGACCGAACAATTCGCTTGCCTGCCACTCAGTCCCAGTTAAAGCTTCGTCCACCGCCCTCCAAGAAGAAAACTTCTTGGACTAGGTTGGGAGAGGAAACAAGTTATTTATACATGGATTTAAGCATTCAGAGGTACCGTTCTCCTCCGCTAAGGAACACAGTCCATTCAGACTCTCAGATTCTGCCGTCTCTCCCACCTGTGAGGGTAAACCAAGCCTCAGCCCAATCAACCGGTGGCAGGCTGTTCTGTCCCTGCAGTGGAAGTTTTGTTTCATCGACTAATGCTCCCCCATTTCCTTTCCAAAGCTCGCCATGGCTGAAAGAACGCCAAATCATTTGTAGACTCCGGATGCTTCTGTAAAAAATAAAACAAGCAAAGCATTAAAATAGCAGCAGTTGAGAGGAAGGGTGGGAAAGAAGCAAACAGAATGGGCAGCTTGTGGTCCTTCAGAGCTTGCGCTCTCTCTTTCACTTTTGACCTGTTACTTTCATCAGGCATCCTCTGCATAACCACGAGGAGAGAGCGTAGCTGATGGGCAAAGAACCTGGAGGACTACAAGGGGCCCACCCTACAACGAAAGTGGTGCCATGCAGTGTAAAAACAGCTTAGCTGCCCATTTTGTTTGGTCCTTAAAAATGGAGGTGCACTCATGCCTCGCTCGCCCTTGGGCTCCTGACCCCACATGTGTGGGGCTGGGAGACATGCTTTGAGGCCCTCCTTCTGCAAAGAAAGCCAGAGCAAATGCTGAGGCACTCGAGATCTCTGAAGATATCTCCACTCCCTGCTCCTTCCAAGGGAGTCCCTTAATTGGCAGTTCAGGGTTTTATGGACTAGTTTACTCCACCTTGTTGGGCTCTCCACGATAACGAGGCATTCTGCTCCTGGGTTTCTGTACCCAAGCTTTGCAAAGCCTTGTAAACATCATCCTTTCTTTCTTCCTGCCTTTTCCAGCCAACACATCTCCTGTCTCTTTTTTCTCCTGTTCTGCGCCTTTGCTTTCCCCGGTTCTCACATTCCCTTCTCGCTAGTTCTAGCCCAGTCATGGGTAGTTAGGTCATTTTTCCTGCGTTTAGATCACTATATGATTTCTGCATTTTTAATTCTTTCGTTCTTCACCTGCCCAGCTGGAACAAGGAGCAAACTAGGCAAGATGGTGGGAGGTGACGGTTGGCTCTTTTTCTCTCTTTTAAGCGGCTAAACACAAGTCTTCCCTGGGGACAGAGAGTTGAATTCTTCCTTCCGTTATGTTTTGCAACACCAAACAACTCCCATCCCATCCACCGCACACTCTGCTTCTCCCTGCAGTGAAGGCAGCCACAGGCAGGCTGTGAAACTTTATGCAGAAATGGCTAATGCGTGGCCTTCACCATTTTGGACTACAGCTCCCATGGCCCCGGCCATTGGCCATGCTAGCTCAGGCTAATGGGAGTTGCAGTGGATCAACACTTGCAAAGCCATACATTCCCCATTCCTGTATTACCACTTACTAACTACCTACCTACCAGTTTCGGAGACCCATCATGCTTAACTCCTATGCATGCATCCAGCTTGTGAGGTCAGAAGCCACACAGGCCTGCTGTTCTAGCCAACCCCCTCCCCTGGCTGGCCATTCTGAAGACCCTCTCCTCATAACAGGCCCCCACGCACAGTGCTTCCTGACCTGGACCGCCCTTGGGTTCACCCCTTCCAGCCTTTGGATGTTCTCCCACTTGTGGTTCCACCATGGGAATGTGGACAGCACAGCCAATGCTTTCTGGCCCTTTCGACCTCTTCTGTTTCCATCACCGTTCCTCATGCACTGGAGGGTAAAGATCTGAAGTGTGGGCTAAGGGGGCCATGTGTCCTCTTGCACACAGAGCAGCCCTCTGTTTGAAGGGTGGTCCAGTCCAAGCCTGGGTTTGATGGGACCCAGAGGGAAGAGCGGGGCCTCAGAACCAACATCTCAGTACGCTATCTTGTTCAGTGGTTTGCCGTCTCCAAAATTAGGGACTTCATAGTCCTCTGGATCTTTCCACTGTGAATTTACCTTACTTAGACCCCTTGGTAATAAGACACCTTTTAGCAATCAGATGCAAAGCAATGGTGCACCACTTCTTAAACAAATCATCCGACTCCGATACATCTTGGAATGTTTACTAAACCTGCAAATAATTACAGGCTGGAGAACCTACAGCTGAGAATGAGGCATATTCCTTTGGAAGTTGGTGCCGCTCATTTAATGAGACTCACCATTGCCGAAGGAGACATGAAGTCCAGCATCTCATTTGTCCTCAAGTAGCTGATTTATCTTGGAACAATGGCCGCTGTGCCGGGGAATGAAGTTTTCCCCTCTGCCTTTCCATTTGCTCTTCTGTGTTCCATTACAAAAAAACAAGGTGAACGGTGGGGGTTTGGAAAGGCCTGTTTGTGGAAACCAACAGTGGCATCTCCCAGGAAAACACTGCATTATTCTTGCTCTTTAAAATTCCCCAGGAAAATGGCTAGAGGACATGGGAGAGTCCCTAGAGAATGACATCATGAAAGGACCTGTGGACGTCCGAGAGTGAGGAACCACAAGCACATGATAATGTCGCAGGTAGGAAAACCCAGAATTGGCCCACACCTGCCTGCCATTTCTAACAGGACGTAAGCTTTCTTATTTTTATTTCAAACAATTCTTTTAATGCCACTGTTTAAAAAAGCCACTTTTTAAAATCATTCATGTTAAGTTCTGAAAGGAAGCCAGAGCGTTTACGATATTCATTTTACTGTATTTGCTCTCAGTGCTATGCTGCACGGGGAACTTTGATCACGAGGTGACTCATGCATTGAAGGTATAGCGTGGTCCCAAAACCAACTGGGTGAGGGCAAACGTGTCACACATCACATCGAGTTTGGCTCTGCTGAGGGGCATGCGATTTTCAAGTGTCACTTCAAGGCTATTGGAAAAAAAAAGGATTCAGCAAAGAGGATCCGTCATTCTGTGCTCTTTGCGCCATACTCTTGATATTAGTGCTTAATATTATTATTTCTATACTGAAGCTATTTTGGCAGTTCACAACAGCAAAAAGCAACAAAATACAGTAACAATAAAAACACCACAAAACACAACAGAGGATCTAAAAGCCACATTTAAACCCGTTTAAAAAAACCACGGTGGCTTATAAAAATCCAGTCACAAGACCTGTTGAACAGTTGGCACACTGTCCTGATAGAAAATAAATCTAAAATATTGCATCGTGAAAGAAAATTGGTATTTTGCGAGCCCAGATATTCGGGAAGAAGCTTTGCGGTCCCGCCCCATGAGTCTCCCTCCAGATCTGGCAATGTTACAGCAGCTTCGGCAGCAAAAAAAGGGGACTTCTGTGCAATAAGCAAGAATTGGCCAGCTTGTCCTCCTGTCTGGGAACTGCTCATGACCGTGATGCTCAAGGACAGTTCCAATTCTTCCCGTCTAGAGCTAGAGCGTGTGACACGCTGGGTCCGTGCCCCCTCCCCTTTCCCGTTAGATATAAAAGCGCTGATCCCAGCCACTCCGGCTCAGACTGCTTCCAAGCGAACGGTGCGGCTTGCTCAATCCACCGCTCTGCATCCCAGTGTACACAGACTTAGGGAAAGTATCTGCCTGCTTCTCAGCATGTGTCGGGGTTTAGCTGCTCTCCCTGCGAGCTGCTTGGAAAGGTAAGAGGCTCGGGAAATATATGGGGCTCTTGGCAAGTGACTACCTAGCTGGGAAATCACAGCTGTGCTTTGCTTGGCCGTCTCTGCCAAACAGGTGTGATATTTGTGCCCGAGCTGAGCTCAAAGTCCTCTGGCACCTTTTCAAATACTGATTCTGCTGGTTAAATTATTGGTCCTTTTCAAGTAATGACTGTGAAGTCGAGGAAGATTTACTGAGTTTTAATTTAATTTAAGAGAGGAGGTGCCTAGACCCAACAGAACCAGGACAGGTTTCTTATATTCCTGTTGCTGCTGTTAAAGGACGCTGACCACCCTGCTTCACATTTGGTTTGCTTTTGCTCAGAAGGGAAGCGTTTTGCTTTTCTGATGGAAAGATTAGCACCGACCTGTGAGCCATTTGTGCAACGACTTCTCCAAGACACGCCTGCAAGCCGCACTCTGTGCAATTAGCATTCCAACTGCGCACCATCCAGAGGGTGGTGAGCTAAAAATAGAAAGCGGCACGCCAGGCAACCGTCTCCAGACTGTCGCAGTGATGCACCAGCTCGTAGGGTGGTACCTCTGTGCGGCTGCCGATGCGCCACGGCGGGCAGCTGTTGCAAGAGCTGCAGAAGTGGGCAGCCGTGTTAGGATGTGCGTGGTGAGAAGTGAAGGAGGACCGATCTCCAGGACCCTCGGGAGAGAGGCCTTGGGAGCAACGCAAGTTTGCTGTGCGAGGCTTTCTCTGTCGTACTGGGAATTTGCACGTTGCGTTGAAGCTTAGCATGAGTGCAACAACAACAAGAAAGCCCAGGTCCCTGGCCCGAGGAGCTTGCAGTCTACATTTTGACAGAGAGGGAGGCAGTGGAGGCTTAGACAGAGAGGGGGAAGGGGCAGAGCTAGAACAGGTGAGGAGATGGCTATTCACAAACGCAGTCCTGCTTCGGCTTAATTTCAGTGCAGGAGACAGGCATCACTATGTACCTACTCGTTGATTGATGCCCCGCCTTGTTTTCAAATTAACCGTACCATTCCAGCTTGTTTCTGTACCACAACTCCCATCACTCTCAGCTAGTCGACGGTCCTGATAGCTGGGAAATGAAGGGAGTTGTCCAACATGTCTGGAAGATGCCAAGTTTATCACTTGCAAGAAAGTGGTGCTGTTACAGTTTGAACACACCCTGGATTTTTGCAAACCAAAGGACACTCCGGGTGTCTTTAGCAAATGGTAAAAGTGGTTGATTGCACGTGCACACACACACACACACACACGGGGGGGGGGAGGGGAGGGGGGAGGGCACTTGACCTATGTCAGTGTTGCAGAGGTTGGGAATGTTTTTAAGAACCTGAGAAAGTGGTACGGGAAACAGCAACACGAATGTGTGCACCTCAAACACGGACAGTCCCTCCACCCTTCTTTTAAATCTCTGGAAGAAATCAGCTCTCTCCACATGGTTGAGTTTTCCCCAGTTCAGCAGCAGTTGAAGTATGAAAAGATAAGATGAACTCTCGATAGGCATGAAGTGGAACAGATTGGCAGGGCAGTATCTCAGAGGAGGAAGCAGATGTTCCAAATGGAGAAGCATCCCTCTTGGCAAGAGCCCGAGGACAAGCAAGCCATTCTGGGAGCCTTGTGGTTCTCCAGTCCTTTGCAGTCAAAGAGCAGATGCTACAGAACAAATGCACCGTTCAGTTAGAGAAATGATGTCCATCAAGAACGGAACCTTTGTAATTCTGCCCAATAAATGGCATTGTACTGCAAACAGGGAGCCTTTTTATACTAAAACGCTACAGAAATGAAATCATGTTGGTTGGCTTTTGCAAAGGACCCCTTGGATACCCTACCAATATTCCCAATTCCTATGTGACAACACGACTTCCAAACAGCCCTGCAGTGGAGAGGGTACACCTTGGGGAAAAAAACCTGCACTTTAGCAAACTGGAGAGCACCGATGAATCGGAAGTCTGTTAAAGGTTATGAGTCTATGCCACAAGCTGAGCAAACCAAAGTGGGGAGAAACAACAACCCTGGATTACCCGCATGGCACGTCTTTAGAATAACCTTTGAAAGAATGAGCATTGTTTTATTGCAGCTCCCACCTATGGGAAATTCTTAAATTACCTGCATGTGTAAATCCATCCTTAGCTTCTGCGTAGATGAGAATTATTTGCTTGAGGATGAATTCTGCATCACTGAAATGCTGGTGTTCTTGTACAGGAGAGAAACTAATCTAATTAAAGATACATTCCTGTGGTTTTGATGCAAACATCTCTGCTCACCTACCCCAGAAGTGTATCCATCACTGTCGAAATGCTTATCTCCAACCCAGCAGGCCATTCCCAGACTTGTCTTTAGGAAACACGGAAGGCTGCTGCCCCCTAGCCACCACGACATTCTCTTTAATACACATTTTGATATTCTGGTATTGGTCTTGTTTTTGCAGAGCCAAGGAGTTCAAGACCCGTTTGGGGATCCTGCTTCATAAGCCGGAATTTGGACACAAAATCGGGAGCCTGAGCCGGGGCACCAAGCAAAGGTGAATACCAAATTTATGGTGCGCGCGAAGTGGGAAGGGCAGCTGGGACCGAACGGTGTGGCATTAAAACTGTCCCTTTTGAAGGAACCCAAAGGCAGGGAGGAATCATAACTAAGGTTTCTTTCCAGCTGTGGAGGAAACAGGCGGTGTGTTATGGCTGTTGTTCGCTTGTGAATTGTGTGACCTGGTTATTACGGGAGGGAAATCTCCCCTCACCCAGCTGAATGGCTCGCATCTTTTCAGAGCAGTGGCCCAGATGGCATCTCTCACCCGTTTGGGTGAATGGCCTGCAGGAACAATAGCCCACCACTTCCCCTGTGGCTTGCCAGACAGTTCCCCGGACCGACCTCTGCCGTCTTCTAAATAGTGCAGCCACAGGGGAAATGGATTCCAGGCAGTCTGGAAACTGGGGAACATCCCTGGGTAGCAATGAATTGGATCCTTTTCTTATTTTAGTTTCTGATCTTGACACTTCTTCTGTTGAACTCTCTATCCTACTTCTTTTGTCCTCCAGGTATGCCTTGGAAGAAGTGCTTGGATGGAAGGAGTCTTTTGACCATCTGTTGAGAAGTAAAAGTGAGTACAAAGACCTTCTAATACACACAATACGGATAGGAAAACGTAACTGCAAACAATAGGAACTGGCAACCCCCTGGTTTAGCAGGCAGTTCCTGATGTATTTCAGGAAACTCCCAAAGACACCACGAGAGGAGGCATCGTTACGGTGTACGGAGCCCACTCTGCCGCATTCAATTCTGGACCAACTAAGATGAAGCATTAAGCATATCCATGAAGCTCATCTGCACGATTCTCTCCCTCTCCCTTTTCTTTGTTAAACTAGCATTTGCAATGTCCCCCAGTTCAATCTGGATCGCAAACTGGGGTGAGGATCTATTTTCCCCTCCTGGCCAACTCAGGAACATGCGGCACAATGTGTTATTTGGAACAGCAGTGAAATCTTAAAATTAGATTTAATATTTATATTCTCCTTCCCACAGAAAAGTTGTCCATATAACTATTCTAAATCTGCTTGAGATTTGGGCACATTTTTGTAATATTTTATGTGCTCACTTAAATTTCCCCAAAATACATTTTCTGCTCAAGTTTCCCATTCTTTTTCGCTCCTTAAGATTTATTCAGGATTCCTAAACTCCACAGACTTTCTGTTTTCCTCTGTAAGAAACTGCCCTCCCTTCGCTTCCCTTCCCACCACATCTGAACTGGCCTTCCCCGGTCCTTGTTCGCAGGTGGCGTGGCAGCGTTCCACGGGTTCCTTAAAACAGAATTCAGCGAAGAGAACCTGGAGTTTTGGCTGGCCTGTGAGGAGTATAAGAAAACCCGCTCAAGAGCAAAGCTGGCAGCCAAAGCCAACAGAATCTTTGAGGACTTTGTTCAAACCGAGGCACCCAGAGAGGTGAGTCCAAATCCCAAGTATCGATTCCGTGTTGGTGACCCAAAGGCCACCTTCCTTGGCTAGCTGGGAGGTCTTGCCAGAAAGCTGCTTGCCCACTTGGCTGAGTTGGGATTCGGGACAGAAAATGCCCCTCTTCCGTGCAGAGGTGGATGCCCCCCCAGTGAGCCAGCCTTTAACTCATAGCTGCCTGGCTGGGGATACTAAGAGCTGTAGCATCTTACTGATGCTCTTTTACAAACTAGTGCCTAGGTAACTGGTACATACTAGATGGTACATCCATCATCCCTCCCTGGTTGTAGAAAACCTACAGAAGGCCAATTGTCCATGGATCTGCAATGGCTTGTTGGTTGCACTTGTGATATATTTTGCATGGAGTTCTGACTGCTGCATAGGTATCTGACCTTTTCTAAAAAGAATGGGGGATTCTGCCATCTTGACTCAAAAGTGGCAAGCCTTTTAATGATACTTACCGAAAAGACTATGCCACTCTCAAATACAGAACTAGAACCTTTTTATTTAAACAATATTTTAACATCATTTAATATCATCTATAGATTTTAATTTGCAGCCAGAATGAATTGGGTTTTAATTTGTATAAAGTGTATCTTTTGTTCTATGTTTATTTATGTAAGCCATCCCAAGGCGTTAAGCGAGGGGATGCCATACAAAACCTCTAAATAAATAAATGGAAAGTTTTGTGTTTTTTTTAACACCTTCTGCCTTTTGGAAATACACTGGTATAAAGTGAATACTGACCAAGTTCCTTCCTCGCAGGTGAATCTCGACCACGAAACCAGAGAAGCGACTCGGAGGAACCTCACGGCTGCGACTTCTGCTTGCTTCAAAGAAGCCCAGGCCAAAACCCACACCCTGATGGAGAAGGACTCTTATCCCCGATTTCTGAAATCTGCCTACTACAGAGACCTGGCCGAGCAAGCGTCGAGCGACAGAGTAGCCAAGCCCACGCACACCTGAGGCTGCCTGCCGGCATCGCTTGGAACTGTGTTGGGGGACCAGAGACGCAGGAAGGCACGGGAGAGACGGGAGCTCGGGAGGGAGGTGCTAAGAGCTGCGGCATGGCAGTGGCTGGGCTGAGGCTTTGTTCTGCCCAGGGTGCCTGGGCCTTCCAGCTCTTCCATGCGCCCAGAAGCTCTACTGAAAAACAACCCTCCCTTGTGCCCCAGAAGGAAACAGGAGGTTGCGTGAGAAGTGCTGGAGACCATCGTGCGAGGAGGAACGGGCTCTCCAGCGGAAGAGGAGGAAAGCAGAAGGAAAAGGCCGACTGAGTGACAAGTGACTGGGAAGCTTGAAGCTGCTCGGTCGGTGCTCGGCGTTGAGCGTCGGTGCGCCCGTCTACCTGCACAGTGAACGCCTCGCTCCGCTCTCAGAAGGCAGTCTCTGCGCCTACGAACACAGGCCAAATGTACATAGCACATGGTTTGCCATCTCCACCTGCTGCATGCCAGGTCCAGCAGCCACAGCCCTCTGCATGCTCCCGCGCCAACCGGCTGGTGTTCCAGGGCTTAGCATCCTAACAGCACAGGCCTCCCTCTGTATGTGGGCCCCGACAGAAGGGCAGCGCCGGCTTCCTGTCACCTACGTGCATAGATCTCTCTTTTGCCATGCTGGGCAGGCATCCTTCCAGGGACACCTGAAGCAGCACATGGACTTGCAGTGTGTGCCTCTCCAAAGGGGATATGCAACCTTGGGCGAACAGCCCCCTTTTTAAATATTTATTTATTCTTATTTTTATTAATTATCACTATTGTTTTGTTATTTATTCAGGTAGGGCATTTGATAGCACTTTAGAAGCAGGTCATGCAGACAAGTCACGGCAGCAAAAAGCCCACCACCAAAACTGGTCTGGGAACTGATTTTGCATCCCTGACTCTATTGCTCTCACAGGCAGCTTATGCAAAGATAGAAGAAAAGATTCGGTCAGCTGTGAAAATATGTGTCCATTAAATGATTAGCTCACAAAACTGTCTATTGTTCCACGTATTCATAGGGTCCTGTGTGACAGTCAATAGATGGAAAGGGGGCAAAAAGAAAAACCAACGTTTCAATGAGCAGAGACTTCTTTGCCTTGGGAATTGATTCGTCACATGTGACCTGGTGAATGGCTTTTTGTTGACAATCCCAGACAGTCTAACAAAAGGAAAGGGCCCGAGAGTGAAATACAGCCTTAATTCTTGGCAACAATCCATAAATCACTTATTGAGGACTAGTCTAAAAAGATAAACAACTGGAATTGTTTTAGGAATTAAGCACAATTGCTTTCTGGCGTCACTGGGGGAGCAACTGCAGTGCAAACCCATCTGACATTGTTGGCTGCTGTGCGTGTCCTTGTGGAAATGCTGCAATTCCAGCAAGGGTGTGCCAGAGCGTGCAACATTTCCAGGTGAAAAGGAACACGCAGCAGCACACCTTGCATGCCAGCAGGCAATCTATTATTATGGTCTGGAAATAGTTGCTGCCCTCTTCAGATGCAGGGCCGGTCAAGGCAACATTGCGCCTAACACAACCTTGCCCACTTGTGCAATGAACAGAATCCCGAGTTGTGAGCGGAAAGGGGGAAAGGTGCACAGCTTTCCCTGTGCAAGCCCTGCCCATTTGTGCTTTTACACAGCCTGTAATAGAAACCACCCAGGGATTGTCTGAAGGGAACCCTGGTTGTGAAAAAGTGCCAAACCTCTCGTAAGGCTCGACTCTCCAGGTAGTTTGCTTGGATCAGTGGCGAGAGACAGCCTCCTTCGATTGGACAGGTTGCAAAGCAGTTGACCCCTTTTCACAGCATAACTCTATTGATTGCTATTTGTACGATTTTAATGCTGGAAGCTGCCTGGGGTGGGGAGCGGGGGCTGTAAACGCACAATTATCGAGCAATGCACGGAGCCGTTCCAGCCTTTGGACTGGTCTGTGAATGTATCTTTGCTGCTCACGTGATGTCCGAAAGGGCCATCCTAGATTCCTCACTGCAAAGAGCCGTGTTTATGTCGTCAGATGTCAATTCCAATAAAGCAGACGCCAGTGCAGACACCTGGCCCAGAACTGCTGGGCAGTCAAGCCAAGTGCGTACGGCAAGAGCTGTGGGTACCTGGGTCATCCGGCCCTTCGATTTTCTAGTATCCATAGTCAAGATATCCATAAGCGTGAAATGCAGTGGCCATGCATACATTTCCGATGTAGAATTCTGAGCCAACCCCAGCCACCCTTGACTCCAAGACCCTGTACCTGTTTTTCAGCAGGGCTGAAACTGGTGCCAGCAAAACTTTTCAAGTGGCAGTGCAGCTCAGTGTAAACCTTTCTCAGGAAATGGTTGGGGGTGGGATAGATCTTCCCCCACCACTTTTTCCCAGAATGGTTGTACCCCGAGCTGACCGCAAATTCCACTTTGCATGCTGCAGGTCATTTGACTGAGACCATACCTCGAGGGTTTTACTTCGATTCCGATTAACCCTTCTTCAGACAACCTCCTGTTGGACTTCCACAAAGAGGTGTCTGGAAAAGGAGACAGGATGTGATTCGGTTTCCATTCTGAAGTCTATGGTTCAAACCTCCCCCTATGGACTTCACCGGGGAAGAATCAACATCTGAAGTTAAATAACCTAAATTCTGTTTTTGAGCCAAATATTAGGGGACATCTGTAATGCTGTTGGGGCTGCATTCACAGTTCTCTTGTGGTTTGACTGCATGCCAGAATTAAATATTATGGTCATCCTGTGGACTTCCACAATGCGGAAGTATGGCGGATGCAGGATATTTAAAATGCACCCTTCCCGATTCTTTTCCTCTGTGTTGCTCTGCTGTCCCTGTTTTGCTGGCTTCCTCGAGATGTTCCTCAGAACAGCATTGCTTCCAATTTAACACACGGAAATAGGATTTAATGCAGAAATGCAACCGAGACAACATTCAGGGCCCTTCCAGTGGCAGGTAGTTCCACCTGTAAACCAGCCAGGGAGTCACAATGCCAGTGCAGCCCAGTTTAAGGCCTCAGGAGTGGATTTTCCAACCTTCCTGCAGTTAGCCTAGCCAGATGCCTGTATGGGCCAGGCCTGCTTTCATATTTATTTATTTATATTTATTTAAATAAAACACAGTTCTGTATTTTGGTCCCTTTGGTGTGAACAATTGAGATGGTGTGTTGAATGTTATACTACTGGTATGATAATATTATCTGGGGGAAAATAAAACAATACTGAAATCATTGCAATCGAAATCTCTTTGTAATGGAAAGTAATGGGGTAAAGGCAGAATGCATGCCTTCTCTCTCCGAGCTTCAGACTGGGAGAGAAAAAGCTATTAACAAAGACCTGGCAGCCTGTTGAATATCTACAAAATGTTAAATGCCTATAAATGCCCGCCGAATGCCTGGAAAATGTCCAAATGAGGTTGCAGAGGATAGACAGACTCTCAACTCAGAGGTGTTCTCTGGGTATACATAAAGACCACTCCCTCAAAACGTTTTGAATTTCAAATGCCATCAGACAGAGCCAACTGGGATTTGTAGTCAAAAACATCTGGAAGGCCCCAGGTGAGGGGAAGACACACCTGTGCACTGTCATTCCTATTTACACAACGAACCCATTTTCTGCGGGTTCTGCAGATGTGTGTGGACAAAATTCATTGGTGGTGGCTTTGATCTCTCCTCGGCCTCCCAAGAAGTGTTTTTATTTTGTTTTGGCTTCTTTTCTTCCACAGTTGGACTTTCTCTGTGTGTGGTTTTTAAGTGCTAAATGAGCACATTTATCCTTTGATTTGGTTCCTTGTTCTGCTTGTTAATTGCTCCATAATTGTGGTTGGAAGGGTGGAGAAGAAGATGGGAGCTCTCCAGCCCTTGGCAGTGTAAAACAGAGACTGAAAACCTTGCAAAGCTTTTCTACAGGTTGTTCTTGCTGCATCTACTTTCAATGTAACAGCAGATCAAACTCTGCAAGGAGCTTTTCTCTTTCCTGCCTTTCTATCCCATGACCTCTAGATGGAGCTGTACCATAGCTCAAAATACACAAAAAGAAACAGCAGCATTTTCCACATTCTAAAATAATGCCTGATTTAGAAACATAGGAACAGAGTGAGTCAGAAGGGGCCTCCCGGGCCATCTAGTCTGACCCCCAGCTCCAGCCAGCTCCACTCATGACATGCCCACCTTGTGCATGTCCAGCCTATCCTTGAACACCCGCACCGATGGAGCCTCAGCGACCTCCCATGGAAGCCCATTCCACACCCTCGGGGTCCTGACTGTCAGGAAGTGCTTCCTGGCATCCAAATTGAACCTTGGCTCCCTGAGCTTTGCTCCGTTGGAGCGCGTCCTGCCTTCCTCTGCAGGGGAGAACAGGTCTCTATCCATCTCCGTGTGACATCCCCTCACATACCTGTATGTCGCCAACATATCCCCTCTGAGTCTCCTCTTCTCCAGGCTGAAAAGACCCACTTCGCCTCATACGGCATCCCCTGCAAACCGGCCACCAACCTTGTGGCCCTGCGCTGCACTGACTTTTACCTGGCTATATCCTTCCTGTAACGAGGGGCCCAAAACTGAACACAATACTCCAGTTGCGGGCGCACCAGAGTCATGTAGAGTGGCAGCAATACCTCTCTCAATCTAGAAGCCACACTTCTGGCTATGCATCCCAGGGTGGCGTTTGCCCTCTTGACCACCGCATCACACTGCTGACTCATGTTCAGCCTGCAGTCAACCAGCACCCCGAGGTCCCTTTCACAAGTGCTGCTCTCCAGCCACTAACCTGTACTTATGAGACCCATTCCTGTGCCCCAAGTGCAAGACCTTGCACTTATCCACATTGAGCGACATCCTGTTGTCTCCTGCCCACTTCCATAGTTCTAAGCAACACAAACAAACAAACCAAGGAAGTGTTCTGAAGAAACAGAGGCAAAATTTAGAATAATCTCAGGAAGTCCATAAATCAGCATGGATAACAAATCATGATCACACGCTAAATGTTACTCCATGGAGTAAAAGCGACATGAGGCATGTTGTGAGTACTTCGAAAACACCCTCCTTGTCCTGGGTTTGTCCCATTCTTGGAAGCATTAACACATTCTATTTTTTTCCTGACAAAAGTCTCATTCTTCCTTGAAAGCTGACATAAAACCCTGTGTATATATAAAAAGGCAGAGGGGAAAAAGACTGGGAGGGGGGGATGTACAAAGGATCAAACGAGGCACCGGCTGGACTGCCGTGGGGAGCCAAGGGGCCACCACAGAGAAAGCCTTCCTGCTTCTTGCCAGTGTCCACATTGCCCTTGGAGATGCCACTCAGACTGCAAACCATTTCAAAGCAATGCAGTGATTATCTGAAGCCAACATAATTTGTCAAGAATAAATCCTGCCAGACTAATCTGATTTTATTTTTTGACTGGGTAACCTCCCTGATGGACAGTGGGAATGCTGCAGACATAATCTACGTGGACATAATCATCTTCACATTGTTGTTGCTGTTAGTTGCAAAGTCGTGTCCGACCCATTGCGACCCCATGGATCCTCCAGGCCTTCCTGTCCTCCACCATCCTCGGAGTCCACTTAAGCTCACACCGACTGCCTCAGTGACCCCATCCAGCCACCTCATCCTCTGCCATCCCCTTCTTCTTTTCCCATCTATTGTTCCCAGAATTAGGCTCTTCTCCTCATTAGGTGGCCAAAGTATTTGAGTTTCATCTTCGAGATCTGGCCTTCTAAAGAGCAGTCAGGGTTGATCTCCTCTAGGACTGACTGGTTTGATCGCCTTGCAGTCCAAGGGACTCGCAGGAGTCTCCTCCAGCACCACAATTCAAAGGCCTCAGTCCTTTGGTGCTCAGCCTTCCTTATGGTCCAGCTTTCACAGCCATACATTGCAACTGGGAAAACCATAGCCTTGACTATATGCACTTTTGTTGGCAGGGTGATGTCTCTGCTTTTTAGTATGCTGTCTAGATTTGCCATAGCTTTCCTCCCCAGGAGTGTCTTTTAATTTCTTGGCTGCAGTCTCCATCTGTGGTGATCTTGGAGCCCAGGTAAATAAAATCTGTCACTACCTCCATTTCTTCCCCATCTATTTGCCAGGAAGTGAGAGGACCGGATGCCATGATCTTAGTTTTCTTAATGTTGAGTTTCAAGCCAACTCTTGCACTCTCCTCCTTCACCTGCATCTTCACATTAGCACTTCACAAAAGTGGGCCAGATGGAACAACGATCAGGCGGATCCGCAGTCGGCTACAGCATCGGACTCAAAGGGTGCTCATCAATGGCACCTTTTCAAACTGGGGGGAGGGAAGAAGTGGGGTACCGCAGGGTTCAGCCCTGGCCCAGTTCTCCTCACCGTTTTCCTTAATGACTTGCATGAGGACGTGCAGGGAATAATGACCAGATTTGCAGATGACAGAAAAATACTGGGGAAAGCAGAAGGGAGATTCTGGGTGACCTTGATAGGCTGGGCTGAGAAGAACACAATGACATTCCGTAGGGACAAACGCCAAGTTCTGCACCAGGGGAAAGCAGACCAGACGCATCCTTACCGGAGGGGAAACGCCAGGTTCAACCGCACGGCGGGGAACACATGAGAGGTGTACGCTTCCTTCCTGCCTCAACATTTCTGTTTGAGGTTAGGCTGGACATGCACATGGCAGGCATGCCATGAGCGGGGCCGGCTGGAGCCGGGGGTCGCACTGGATGGCCCGGGAGGCCCCTCCTGACTCGCTCGGTTCCTGCGTAACATTGCACCGTTGCACGTCTCTTACCAGAGCTTTTCCTGGTCAGAGAAGAGATAAAGGGAGCGCGGCGGGGGAAGCGCGCCTGCATTGCTGTCTCCGCCCCCCGCCCCACAAAATCCGCGCCCGAGCCGCCGCAGGCATCCCTTGGGTCGGCGCGGCGTCTTCCGAGCGGTTCGGGCGCTCCACCCCGGATGACAAAGCGAACTCGGGCGTCTCCGCAGCCGCTCCGGGGCAGCCGGGCAATCGAAACCGAAAGCGCGGTAGCGCGCTTCCCCAGCGCTTCCGGGCAGCCTGGACCGCTGCCGCTGCTCCTGCGGCAGGTGCAGCGCCAGGGCGAGCGGACGGGCAGGTAAGCGAGGGCGGGCGGGCGAGGCTCCCCAGCGCGGCGGCCGGCAGAGGCGCTTGGGCCGCAGCCCCCAGGCCTCGCAGCCAGCAGGGCCACGGCCGGGGATTCTGGGTGTTGCAGTCCAGGCGCGGGAGGCCGCCTGGACGGGCGCAGCGGCGGCGCGGCGCGGCGGGGAGGGCGCGGGGCTCTTGCGCGGCCGGGGGGGCGCCGGCGCAGGGGAGGCGCTGCATCGCCCCGCGGGACGGGGCGCGCGTCGGCCGCCCGAGGAAGCACCGGGCTTGTGCCCGTTCCCCCTTCAGCCGGGCGTGGGCCTGGTTTCCGTTGCGAGGCACGCCGGCCCGGCTCCTCTTGGCCCGCCCTTCGCCCGAACCCGCCTGTCTTTGTTGGCAAGTGTCTTTATAGTGCGTGCATGGCAGTTCCCTCGCGCGTCGCTGGGGGGACACATCTGACCTTCTCAACCCGGCGGGTCCATTCACTACCGAAAGACTTACTTCTTTATTATTAAACTTCTAATCTGCTACATTGGGTTTATTGATTCTTCATGGTAACAAACGCCATGCTTTCTTTGAGAAACAGATGGAAAGAAGACCATGCACATCCCTGCAAAAGACAGCGAACGTTACCTGTTCAGCACCTCCTCATCCGAACCTTCAAACTGTTCCAAGCTGTTGGTGTCACTCTGCTATTAACACATCTGACACATATTAGAAATATATGCAGAGCCAAGATAATCACCACTTGTCTGAAGCTTTCCGAATCCTGCAGGAAAAACTAGCAGCATCAAAAGCCCTTCCACAAAGACGGGTGTTGAGCTGGGCTCAGCGTGAGGACGGAATTCCACTTTGGAGACGCACTCCAGCTGCGATCCAGGGGCGTATGTTGCTGAAGGCAAATGAGGTGCGGGCAACACGAAAAGCACTGCATCCTTTAGGTCAAAGTTCTCGCTGGCAAGCTAAAGTTCCTAAGACATAAGGAAAGCCTTGCAGGCTTTTAGGATGGAGGAAAACTCCACTGCCACTGAACCGCAAAACGATCAGTTGTTGGAGGAAGAGGGCTGGGGCCCCGGAGCGAAGCCACCTGGGGAAGGGCAGAGGTCTGGACTGGGCCACCTGAATTGGAGCTTTGAGCTAAATGAGGCTGTGCGGTTTGGCTCCATTGAGACGGTCCAGCAGTTGTTGGAAAAAGGCGCCGAGGTCAATGCCAAGGTGGAGAGCGGCTGGACAGCTCTGCATAGTGCTGTGAAGGCCGACAGGGAGGACGTTGTCCGCCTCCTACTCAACAAAGGGGCTGATCTACACGCTAGGAAGGATAATGGGGCTACCCCTTTTATTATTGCGGGGATAACTGGCAATGTGAAACTTTTGGATCTCTTGCTTGAGAAGGGCTCAGGAATCAACGAACATGATAGCAATGGCTTCACGGCGTTCATGGAGGCAGCTTGGTATGGGAAGGAGGAGGCCCTGAGATTTTTGTATGAGAAAGGAGCGGATGTAAATATGCGCCGAGTGGTTGATGAGGAGAAGAAGGCTGTGAATAAAGGAGGTGCTACAGCCCTGATGGATGCAGCTCGGCATAGCTACCTCGCCATCGTCGAAGCCCTGGTCACAGAAATGGAGGCTGATGTGAATATTTGCGACAATCAGGGGAGAAACGCACTAATCTATGCACTCTCGGTGAAGGAAGGGGACGAGTGGAAGCGAGAGAAAGAGGCAGTTGCCGAGTTCCTCTTGAAATACAGGATTGATGTGGACAAAAGAAACGAAAATGGGGAAACAGCTCTCATACTTGCTGTTGAAAGAGGAAGCCAAAATTTGGTGAAAGCTCTTCTGGAAATGGATGGCATTGATATTGATGCTGTGGGCAAAGACAACAAAACAGCACTGAGAGTTGCAGTGGAGAAGACAAACTATGAAATAGTAAAGCTACTGTGTGAAAAGGGAGCTAGAACAGACATTGGAAACCTCATTCAGGTTGCCAACGTTGCTTACAACAATGACAAGATGATAGCGCTGCTTTCCAGATATGGTGCCTCGTGTAGACCGAGCCAGCCAAAGCCAGCAACTTTCTCCAGCAAACGGTGGGAATCCAGGCTCCGCTGCCTCTGGGAGACACATCGCCCTATGATTGGAAAGCTCAAGTTTTTCAGGCATGAAGATTACAGGATTGGAAAAACCTCTCAGGGAGGAGGAGTTTTTCTTGGATTATATGATGGAAAAGAGGTGGCTGTGAAGTTACTCCCCACCAATGGAGAAAATACCAAGCGAGAGAAAGCCTGTCTTGAGAAATGCCAACCCAGCAAGCATCTGGTGACATTTTGTGGGTGGGAAAAAGACACCTGCATCTACCTGTGCCTTACACTGTTTGAGAAGAACCTTGAGGAATATTTTGAGATGGAGGAGAATGCAGCCATGGAGAGCCAAGAGATTCTTAAAACAATATTCCAAGCAGTGAAGGAGCTTCATGATTTTGGATTTGGCCATCAGGATCTGCACCCGAGCAACGTTTTAATAGGTTTGTATTCTCTGTCTGATGGAGTCCCATCTATTTATTTTGGTATAATCCAGTTCAGTTTCGTGGGATCAAGGTGGAATAGCAGATTGCTTGCTTCAGCCTTTCCAATTCTGTGTCATGAAGGGTCGGTGTTGCTTAGATAAGGAAGTCCAGGCATGACTGGCTTCACTTCTCAGCTGTAGGTCATAAACCAAACTTACTTCCAACTTTGCACTTCTGTTCCCACTCCTCTCTGAATCTCCCCTTGGCATAGTCACATCATGATTCTGTCCAAGTTAGTGCTGTCATCATAAGGACTCGCATTGTATGGTCAGTAGCCTAGCCACGTACTAAGTGTGTGAATGCCATGTTATTTATAACTTAGCATGTTATTTGTAACTTAGCCTAGTGTGCAACTTTGACCATTTATCCATACGTGTCAGACACTCAGATCTGAAGTGAGCAGATGACCAGCACAGAGCTTAAACAATTTCTTTAAAATGCAACAAAGGGGATACAATACAAAAACAGATAGAATTGAAATAGAATCCAAAGCACTATTTCACGTGAAAGAAAAAACTTTTACATCATCTGCCTTTTTTATTTTCTTTTTTTGCCTAGACGTGGCTGGCAATGTTTTCCTGGCAGATTTTGATAAGAGCCGAAGAATAACTGATGGTGATAAAGATCAGATAATTTCAGAAGACCTTCAGGTAAATCTTTCCTCTTCTGTTGCCTGTCTGGCATTCTACATCTACAGAACAATTATCCCTGAAGTCTAAACATTAGAAGCATTTGTAGTAGATGGTATGTAACAGCTTTTAACAAACAAACAAACAAACAAACAAACATTAAGGCAAAGTATCTCCAAGTACAGACAGTACACACACACACACACACACATTTAATCAAGCACAAGCATAATGAGCATTTCAAAGAAGAACATGACTTGCTTTGGTCCTTTTTTGTTGCCAGCTGCCCAGATAGCTTCAGATACAGGACCATATAGAAATGAGATTGATAATAATTTTTGCTTACAACAGCCTCATTCATTTTATGATGCCTTAATTTCCTGAATAACCAAGGTAGATTAGATAAGAACCAGGTCAGTTCTATGCTTCTGAGGGTCAAATTAGACACGACATTAAAAATTAGACTTCCTTTCCCAGTTATAACATTATACCAATCCCTGTGGCAAAATGCTATCCCTGAGTGGCTCTAATCCCACCAGAGAGATAGCACTGGATGCTGCTTCTCCAGTGCCATTTTCTTAGACGAAAATAACTCTGCCACGCCAAAGGGCCCATGGGTCAAAAATAGGTCCATATTGGTCCTCGTGTTTATTATCTCACTGTCAGGGTAAATAGGTGAGTCCTCTATTTTTTGGTATGCTAAGGCTATTTCTCCCTCATCAGGCTCTTGCAAATCTTGTCCTGTACGTTGCGATGAGGGGCAAAATCCACTTTGAAGACCTGCCGGCCCAGTGTCCAGAGGATAAAGATGGATGTGCGGAAATTGAAGACCTCAGAACATGTCTGAAAACTGATAAAAACTTCCCAGTGAGTGAACAGCTGAAAAACCTGATGGACCATCCCTATTTTTGGAGTATGCAAAGGTCAGTAAACACAGGCGCTTCAGTAGCTCTCTGTTTTTATTACTCCATCTTCCTCGGCTTGATTGCCTGGTTAACACAGTAGTGATCCAAGAAGAATTTTGCAAGTAGAACTAGAACGACATTTTGGTCAGTGTTGCAGTCTAGCCAGCTCTGATGTTTTTGAAATCAGAGTTTTTCTTTGAACCGCAGAAGTTGATTGTGCTGGAATACTTTAGTCTTTATGGGCTGTCATTTCTTTTACGGTTCAGCAACATTGCAGTATTCATCCGTTTGCTTCACTAAAATGTTTTGTAAAACCATGCAATAAATGTTTACATGAGACAATGTACAGTATCAGATCGATCCTATTCTTATGCACTAAGGATGGCAAAAACTTAGGCTGAACTCTCTCATTTCTAACTCTGGGGGGTACTGCCTTTGGCACAAGAGAAGGCACAAGGTTTCCATCCCATCTTTCGTTCCATTTATTGGTATAGAAAGTAGGTCAGTTCCCGACCTCCAAAGACTGGGAGAAAATGCAGACCAACCAAAAGAAGCTGAAACTATGCTTATCTGAAAGGTAAGCACTTACATTTATGTGAATTGAGAAAAGTGAATCGTATTTTAATTGCATTAGTTGATCTCCATAGCCCTTAGGTAAACCCTAATTTAATTCCTACTTATCTGCTTATTATGGAACCTTGGTTGGAATCCCCCCACAGTCCTTTTGGTTTACTGGATTATTTTTTCTTTACCTCCCCTCAGCACAATGTTGAGGCAGGAATCTTGCATATGGAGACATTTCCATACTGAAAGTTCTTTTGAGGGGGGAAAGTGATTTAGAAATAGTGTTAAATGAAACATGCATAGCCAAATGCTACTAGAATGACAAAATCTATCCTTGTATCTTGTAAAAAAGTATCTTGCAGAGCTTAAAAAATCCTTCATGGGTCCATGCAAGGAAGGTTGTGCCAATAAAAGAGAGCCAGTGTGGTGTAGTGGTTAGAGCACGGGACTGGGACTCAGGCGATCTGGGTTCTAGTCCCCGCTCAGCCATGGAGCCACCTGGGAGACTTTGGGCCAGTCACAGACTCTCAGCCCAACCTACCTCACAGGGTTGTTGTTGTGGGGATAAGATTGAGAGGAGGAAAATTATGTAAGCCACTTTACCTAGCTCTTTGAAGAAAAGTGGGATATTAATCTAATAAATAAATAAATATAAAAGTTCAAGTAGCTTTTCCCAAGCTTCCAGTTCCAGAAATCCTCTTTCTGTCCCTTGTATAATAGCAGCAACTTCTCAAAGAGTGCCTCTTTGGGTAAATAAACTGGGCACACATTTCAGAGGGTCCTTTAATTCACAGTGATCCTCTTTGCATGCTAAGCACTATTTTGGGGGCTGTTTGTTGTGTGAACCTCACTACTGCAGGGTTGGGTTAGGTAAGCAACCCTAATGTGACCTTCAGCTTGTTGTAGGGTAAAATAATTCACAGGGAGCCCCCACACGTTGTGCAAACTGGGCCAGTGAACTGGTTGCATCGAAGCGACGTTGGTAGCCGCTGTCACGTCACGTCACGTCATTTCTATACCACCCTATAGCCAAAGCTGTCTGGGCAGTGTAGACCAGTATATAAAACAAAGCAATAAAATATGGTAGAAATGTCATAAAATGTTAAAATCTATTTCAAATAGTTTAAAATATACATTTAAAAATAGAGTTAAAAAGACCCAATAAAGAAGAAGAATCCTATTGGATAATCTGCTCAAGCTCCTGGATAACCAAGGAAATCTTTAAAGGCGTCTCATAAAGGGTTGTCTTAACCTTGCACGGGAAAGAAGGCAAGTTTGGTGCCAGGTGGGCCACAGCAGGGAAACTATTCAAAAATAGGGGGCACCACAGAGAAGACCCTCCCCTTGCTGCCACCCTCCAAGCCTTCTGTGGAATTGGCACGTGGAGAAAGGCCCCAGAGGAGAAGTGTGGTAGCCAGGTAGCTTGTGGCTTGGAAAACATGGGTCCCAGGACAGATGCTGAAAAGCCGAGTGCTGCCAGAATGCTGGGCAAATGACACACATGTTTTCCCACAACCATGAGTGATAGAATAAATGTCTTGCTCACAGAAAGCATGAAACTGGGAGTCTACAAGCTGCTCAGTGGCCAGGTTGTTGGAAGGACAGCTGACCTGGTCTTTGGAGCATTACGCTGGAAAATACCAGGCAACAAGACTCTGGGGGGGCTGGCAGAACGCCAGTGGAAAGAAACATCCTGTGTGGTGATGCCGTTTGAGGCGAAAACAAATAACGAAAGCTTGTGACAGAAGGCAGGTGGAAAACCAACAAGGATGCCCGTGCTTGCGTATGGTGGGAGTTAGCAGCAGACTGATCCCCCTAAGAGCACAAGGTGGAAAACCAACAGGGATGCCCGTGCTTGCGTATGGTGGGAGTTAGCAGCAGACTGATCCCCCTAAGCGCACAGGAGGCGACATTATTCCGGGTCTGACTGTTTCCACTTCTGGTCCATCACTGTCTCCTCCGTCTTTTCCATCCCTGCTCCCTCCTCCCTTTAAATGGGATGGCAGGGACCGAGGCTGGGACCCCCCTCTGCGCGCAGAGTATGAACCGGTGCAGCATTGCGCTGTGGTCCTTCCTTGGCCCTGAAGCCACCCTGCCGGGAGAAGCAGAGGCGGTCCTGGCCTGCCGCGTCATCAGCACTGCTTTCGTCCTGGGCACAGCGGGGTTTCGTTCTTACGGTCGCCTTCTCTTTGGCAGGAAGTACCAGTACTTAAGTAAGATTGGGAATGAGATCCGCGTATTGGCAAAGAGTAAGGACCGGAAGGATGCCACCGACATTCAGAAGGTCTTGAACTGCGACGATCCTTTCAAGGACTGGAAGGAAAAGGTAAGTTGTTTATCTAACCGCAAATTGTTCAGAACAAGCAATAACTGATGAATATGGTGATAATAACGGCTCTAAAAGCCAGTTGCTACAGCTCTGTGTCAGGAGTGTCTCCTGCCCTCTTCTCATTCTCAGCTCATCTCCGGTCGTAGCCCCTGACTGAATTTGTGAGCTCCAGCCCCTCACGTCTGCGGTTCTCTTTTCCCAGTCTCTCCCTAACTACCGTCTCCTCTTCCTAATTGTCTTTCTGCAGCTGCCACCCCTGCTGCCCACGCTCCAGGCCGGTCTCGGCTGTCCATCCTCTCTTCCGCTCCCTAATCTGTTGTGCTCTTCCGTACCTGAAAGGATTTGCTGTACTGTCAGATTTCGAATATTGCTAAATCTACCAAACAATATATCAAAAATATTTCATTCTTTAACATACACAACAGGTCATATATAACATGATCTTCTCATGGATGGATCGCAAGAGGTCACATTCTCCTATGTCTGTCTCACATACACTGTGATATTCTCTATTCACAAAAGGTGCCCTTTTGATTAATATATGCCACTGAGGCTTGGCCACTTGGCCAGAAAGCACCATCTTGGGAAGTGGGGCACTTAGGAACCCAAAGAAAGAATAAGGATTGGAGTCTTTTTTTCAGATTCACCAAAAAGTACTAGACTGCATGGCTGATTTCTCTAATGATGTGGGGCAAAAGAAGATGAAGAAGAACCCAACCCCACGGACGACGCTTTACAAAGACGGTGCGGCGGATTTACTGAAGCTAATCAGAAACATGGGTGAGCACTTCAACGAGAAAAGTACAGAGTAAGTTGCTTTCTTCAGATCTGTAGCTGCCTGGCCTTGTGCACAGGACCCTCTGACGGCTGTTTCTGATCTTGACCTTCTGCAGCTAACATGGAAACCCCGAAATAACAAGCCGCTTGGACGGGGCTCCCTTGCCCATGTCCCACTGCGGGGTATGTGCCCCGCAGCATCTTCTGCAGGTTTCAGGGCAAAGGGGAAGATGACACGGAGAAAGGCACCCTAGACCTAACTCTGACTCAGTTGCAGCACTTCCCTTGGGCTGGACCGTACTGCCCACGGCTGCGCTCCCACGTTTTGTCTTTTAAAGTTAAAAAAATAAATAAAATCTGGTGCCTCTAGTTCTACAGAGCTCCCAAAAGGTCAAATTTAACTTAACTTTGGTCCCTTTTAGTGCCCTGTAGCTGCTCAGGACACTGAAAGGGATCAAGCTTAGGATGAGGTTTTTTGACATGCACACATTGTAGGGCCATGCAACCCACATCGGGAGCAAAAGAAGGGGAACAAAAATGGCCCTGGACCACTGGACTTCGTTGGCATGGCTTAAATATTACTAAAAGCAGAATAGATTTTGGTATTCTGGAATACCAAACTGGAATAGATTTTAGTAACTTTAGTAATACTTAAATGCACAGAATTTAACTTTCCTTCTAAAAGCCAGACAGAACTTGCCTGGCTTAGGAAAAATGCACCAACTCATTCCTTCAATGCCAAAGCAAATTTTTTATATTTTTCATCCAGAAACTATTACCAAGAGAAGTACAGCCTCTGAAAATGATGGCTCCATTTAGCAGTTGTCACTGACTGTTCTTGAGAGACCTATTAACCCTCTGTAGACCTATTAATTAATTAATTTGTTTAAATCTTTATTTTGAACTCAACAAGTGGCTGTGATCACAATTAATGACAACACACTGTATGTGCTAATTATGTGTAATATGGGGAAAATGCATCCTTTTGGCTGTCCTGAGTCATGGACACAATCATCCAGCTTGTTGATGAGTTGTAGCTGCTTCCAGACCACAATTCCTAGGACCTCGACAGCTTCCAGAGTTTTGCTTTTCTGCAGTTACCTGGGAATAAACAGCAATTCCAAGCAGTAGCTACAATCTTCCCCATAAAAATGTGGCAACGCCAAATCTACAAGTGACATTTTAAATGTGCTACTTGGATGCAAGCCCTGTTTGGTTCAGTGGGACATGAAGTGCTTTGGACTCAGCAAAAGTCCTCACTTGAGGTTAATATCTTTTCTTAAAGCCCCTTTTGTTTTTAAAGTAGCTTCTATTTCTAAAGGTTATTCTCCTGCTAATTAGTTGTTTCCTGGTGGGAAGCTCTGCCTTTTTTTTCACTTGATAGCCAAAAGAATTGCTTCATCTTTATACAAATTGGAATTTGAGAAACACACAGTGGGGAGGGGGGTATTTGTGTGGTGTTCTGGTTGTTGTCTTTTCCTCACATTTCTTGCTATGCGCTGCCTTGCTTTCTGAACTCTGGCCTTAGAAGAATGGCTCACAGGGGCAAAGGTCATCTTGGGAAACCGGCATTAACATTATAGCAGATTTTATACCTTGCGCATTTCTTAAGTCAAAACAAACCAGCGCTCGTTTACATGCTTGTAATAAAAGGATTCCTGTTTTCCATTGCAGGGTGAAAGCCATAATCAAGGAGCCTGCAAGCTATTTTCTGAACCTCTTTCCAGGTTTAACCATTTATGTCTACCGGCGTTTGTATAATATACTACCTGATTCATTTTTCCCAACGGCCTAGAATCATTCTCAGCTGCAGTGAAGACCGGTGGGCATCCGTTCGAAATGGACGTGCAGCTGGCTGTCTCAATCGCACTAAGCAAATTATGCAGAACTGGCAAAGAAGATCAAAGAGGTCCAGCTTCTTAGATCTGGGTCATCGGCACCACAGCTTTCTCTCTGGGGCCCAGTTCTGAAACAAGCTCGGGGCCTGGTTCCCTGAAGGACCATCCCATCCCATATATGGCTGCCCAGACCCGACGATGCTTCTTCAGGACCCCGCCAAAGAAAGTGGGTGGAAGAGGGTCTTCTTTGAGGCGGCACCCAATTGTGGAATGAGCTCCCCAGAGAAGCTTGCCTGGCACCTTCCTTGTGCTCTTCCCAGTGCCAGGGAAAGGCTTTCCTATTTTAGTCTTTCCAGTTCTGTTGTGAATGTTAATCTTCGCATTGCTGATGGGTTTTACTTTGGTTCCTACTTCTACTGTGTACGGCAGTGTAAAAACTTTTAGAGTGTTTCTCAGGTTGAATGTTATGTGAAAGTTCACGGTTATGAACTTTCAAAAATGGGCAGAACGGAAGTTTATTCCCATGTGCCTGACACCAGTTTGTGCATTCTGGTTCTGGTTGAGAATGCAATATAATGAAAAACTGATACACATATTCACTGTCAGTATTCAAAAATTACTAAATTACCTTCTGGGTCACTGGTCCAACGTTCTCACCCCTAGGCCATACTGGGTGCCATTCACAATTACACACATACCTAACAACATACAGCCACAACATTCTTAGAGTCCAATATTGGTAAGGAGCCGGCCATTTGCTGATGGAAACAGGTGTTCTCTCATACTATTGCTCTCTTTTTACACCTAAGATGACAAATAGAATGTTTTATTTAAGCCCGTGAGGAGCTCCTGCTGGTAAGGGGGAAATCCAAAATGCATCTTGCTGAGAAATAAAAACGGGGAGGGGGGACATTAAGACTAGAATGATTGTGTTCCCAAAACAGTTTGATGCTTGAGGGGTGTCATGCCCTTTTGTTCTGAGCCTCGTTTTGGGCTCACTAATCAATCACTGATTCGATCCCTCATATATTATGGAACAAGGATACCACGTTGTTGGACCGACTGGCCCTCGGTGCAGAGCTTTTGGACTTCATGGTCTGATCCAGCAGGTCTCATTAGGTTCTTTATAGATGAACTCTCAGTGGAGTGCAAAATTCTGGTTTTAGTTTAACATGGATTTTGTGGGGTATCACATGGGAATTTATTGGATTTATGACACCCACTTGTCCCAAGCATGACACAGATTTTCTGTCCTAAAATAAAAGGTAAAGGTAAAGGTTTCCCCTTGGCATTAAGTCCAGTCATGCCTGACTCTAGGGGGTGGTGCTCATCTCTGTTTCCTAGCCGAAGGAGCCAGCGCTTGTCCGCAGACGGTCTCCGTGGTCATGTGGCCGGCATGACTAAACACCGAGGTGCAGGAACGCTGTTACCTGCCCACCGAAGTGGTACCTGTTTATCTCCTTGCATTTGCATGCTTTCGAACTGCAAGGTTGGCAGGAGCTGGGACGGAGCAACGGGAACTCACCCCGTTATGCAGTTTCGAACAGGCGACCTTTCGATCAACCAGCCCAGCAGCACAGCGCTTTAAACCACTGCACCACCTGCAATCCCAATAATTGTATAAAAATAAGTAATAAAATAAAATGAATAAGACATTGTGTGGAAAATGGATGAGGGTGTAAATCTACAAAAAAAGCGGGGGAGCACCCTTTTCAGGTTCGTGTAAAAATGGCATTTTTTCCGGCAGTAGGGTTCTTGACCTTTTCTATGAATAGCTTGGGAAGAAAAAGCACTCTGCACATGACTGGAGAAGCTCTTCAAACCTATTTGTGTGCACATTGCTAATTTTTGTGTACCTCAGCCTAAGTGCATAAGAAACAGACTATCCACTGTTCCCAAAACTGGATCTCGGAGAGCTGTGAAGAGACCATGGTCTTCCATGTCTCTCCGCAGAATGGCACAAGAGGGAGATGCCTGGCTCAAAGCAGCTGGAGGACCCCTTCTCCTTCTTGCTGGACTGAAGTGCCCCATCCCCTACTCAGATCCTGAGGTCATCCTTGGGGTCCTTCCCCAAAGGAAGTGAGGTGGGCGGCTACCAGAAGAAGGGCCTTTTTCATTGTGGCACCCCAGTTGTGGAATAATTTGCTCCCTGAAGAAGTACACCTGGTGCCTACTTTTTCTTCCCCCAGCATTTTAACAGTTTATTTTTCAATATTACTTCGTAGTCTGTACCACTGCTTTGCTTCTCTGCTGACACAATTGTCAATGCAACTTTGTTCTGAGATAATTTCATTTTGTCACGTGTGTCTGTGTGTGTGTTGTAAAGCGTTCTTAACTTCCCTGAACCTGCCTTGGCTATTGGGTGGTATACAAGTGAAACAAACACACAAGTAGGTGCCCAGAGGAAGCAAAAAGGACTGGGGTGGGGGGCGATGGCCCTGGGTGAGCTGGCCAAAGAGAGGGGAGGCGGGGGCAACATCCCCTGCCCGCAAAGAGGACCTATCGGGAAAAGCCCACCCTCTCCTGCTCCGGGCTGGGCCGAGTCGTTGTCCCTCGAGGTTTCCACAGGGCTGCATCACTGCCTCGGGCCGGCATGTCGCAACTCTTTCACGCATTGCATAACGAGGCCTGGCTGGCGCATTGTGGCTTTTCAGAATCTGCCAGATTTCCGCCCGTGCGCGACGAAAACGAAAGCGCCGTGCGCGCAAAGGGGGAAGCGCCCTTGCTTCGCTCTTCGCCTGGCGTCCCAGCGCTTTGTTCCGCTGACCTCCCGGGGCTGCTCGCAGGCGGAGCGGGCGCGGAGGCTGCCCGCTTGGAAGTACGTAAAATGCGGTGTTTGAAGCCTGGGATAGGGGTGGAGGAGAAAGAGCCTCGGGTTTTGCATTTTATCGTGGCCTACTGATGCTTTGCTTGCTTGCTTGGTTTGGAAAGTTTTGGTTAAAATCAGGGTGCAGCTTGTGGAATTCGGTATCGCCTCTCCAGCGCAGTCGTTCACATATTTGTGAAATGGCGGCGTTGGGAAAGGGCGTTTTCTGCCTCTGTTTCTCCTCCTGTTGTCGATTTGGGCAGATCAGAGTGCAGACGTGGGCAAAAGCCGTTTTAGTTCTCTGTTGACCTTCACGTGGAAATGTTTTTCCAGAATAGAAAAAACAAACCTTTTTAGAGTGAACAATAGGAGTGTGAGTGGTAAGAGAAAAGAGGATTCGTGGGAAGCCGTAGGTTTGAGTGGCTACATTTTGGTCCCCAATCTGCAGAAATGCCAACAGTGTGTCAGACGGATTCAAGTGGCTTCTGGGCTTTTATATTTTAAAGGCAGAGCAGCAGTTGCTTCCTTGTTCCCGCAAGCTTTCTGCAAGCCGAGATAGCTGCAAAAGCACGATCTAATGTAACAAGCTCTGCAAAGACATAGAAACAGAGCAAGTCAGAAGGGGTCTCCCGGGCCATCTAGTCTGACCTCCGGCTCCAGCTATTCATGACAGCCCTGCTCAGCTCTTGCATATTCAAGGCTGTGGCTTCCTTGTTGGAGTCAATCCATCTCATATTTAGTCTTCCTTTTCTTCATTTGCCTTCAACTTTCCTTAGCATGATCTTCTCCAGGGAGGTTTGCCTTCTTATACTGTGTCCAAAGTATGGCAGCCTCTGCTTTGTCGTTTTTGCTTCTAGGGTTTGATCTCTGAAAACGAATACGAATTGCGTAGCGCACTTGCCCGGTGCGCTTCCCAAGTTCCCTCTGTTCCGCCCTGCCCTGTTTGCTTGGGGTTGCTTTGCATTCATTCTTGGCAAGAGAGTCATCCTGGCCCACTCCAAAGCTTGCACAACGAGAGGTGATTTTTTAAAAAAGCAGGCTTAATAAAGGTAGTATTTTTCCATCTAAACTTAATGGACCAGCTTGGCTAATTTTGTGCTTTTTGTCAAACCGCGGACTGCAGGGCCCTTTGCGTGGTCTTCTTAGGGACGCGTGTTGCCTTCAGCCAAAGCCTGAGCACAGCTGGGCCACTGGCGGCTCTGCGCTTTCCCACAGGGAAGCGGCATCCCTGGGAAGGCGGTTGAATGAATCCCCTGCCGGACGATGAGGCTTGGCAGCGGGCCGCGTTTGACAGCTGTGGGAGAGAGGCAGTGTGTGTCTCTGTGTGTTTCCTGCCCCTCCCCATCAGCCCCTTTAACTTTCGATTCTGCAAGATGGTTCAGGGGAGGGGTGTGGCCAAGCGCCCATGCAGCCTGCTGGGACTGGTACGGGATCCAGGGCTGAGCTTGCAAAGGCCGAACCTGCTGGGCGTGGTACGTACAGCAGACTATCTGGGTGGAAGACAGCATTGCTGGGAGAGAAGATAAACCCAGTCAGGGGAATTGCTTCTGATTGGTTCTTCACAGGCACCGTGAGCTGAGCCCCCAGAACACCCGCCTGCTGTGTAGGAGGGAAGGGGCGCCCCCATGAAACTCTTAGGTGCACGTTCAGGCTGCCCAAGGGCTTGACCTCAAAATGGGAGGAAAGGGTGGTTTTAGCAGGGGCAGGGGGACCATCTCCACCAGAACACTCCCTCACCACCAGTGGTTTTTTTGTAAGAGAAATGGTGCCGGAACTCATGAAATTATTTACCTTTCGCATGTAGTCACTGTACACACACCCACACATGTCAGTTGTGTAACAAAACATAACAGTTGCCGCCCGCAGTAAGCATTCGGTGCGCGACCACACGACCAGTCACAAGCCGAGCAGTGCCACAAGCCGAGCAGCGCCCTCACAACCAGCGCGGACGAAGTGCGCACGCATCGGATTCGACACACAGGCAGCCCGCATGCACTGTTTTAATGATTTTGCCGCCGACCTGCTACGCTCGACAGGGCGATTCAAATCCACGTGGACCAAACATCAACTTTTCAAAAGTTACTTTTAAAACTTGTAAAATCTGTTGAAAAAAGGTGCTGGAACTCTGTTCCGGTGTGCTCTATGACAAAAAAAGCACTGCTCACCCCCTTCTCTGACATCCTGTTTCCGCTTGGAAAAGCTGCTGGAATTATTGGTCCTATACCAACTGCAAGGTTAGGGGACCCCCCCCCCCCCCCAACCCAGAGTCCCAGCTTCAACATCAGGGCAGATTCCAAGGTTTCCGACAGCCATCTTGATGTTCTTTAGCAGCTGTAAGATCATGCTGCCTCTCTGTTCACAGATAAAGCATTTTCAGGCTCTTGCATGTCATGTTGATTGATTTCCCTGAATATTCTATGAACTGAGAAACTGTTTTTGATAGCAGCCCCCTTCAACTTCCAACTATGAAATATGAGGCATAGAAGATGATGATGATGATGATGATGGCCATCCCTTACAGAGGTGAGAGGGGTGGCTGCTGGAGCAGGGCCTTTTCTGCAGCTGCTCCCCATCTCAGGAATGCTCTCCCCAAGGAGATGTGCCTGGCGCCTTTCTTACATTCTTTTTTGCGCCAGGCAAAGACCTTCCTTTTTAAAAAATATTTTAATAATCAATGCCATTTGACCTTTGTTTTGTATTTCTGCCCATATTTTATTGTTATTCTATTTTTAATACGTTGTAATTTGTTTTTATTATGCTTTTATCTTGTGATCGTGAGCCACCCAGAGGTGCTGTGGCACAACTGGGCAGCATACAAATGTTTTAAATAAATGAATAAATAAATATTATTAGCTTTCATTGTGAAAATACGAAGCATAGCTATACACACTTAAAATCAACTTACTAGGATATTCTGCATCCTCAAACAGGTGAATGGCTACAGATTTATATGAAGAATGAAATTTGTATGCCCTTTGGCACAGAACTATGTTCTCTCATTGTGACAAATATATCAAAGTCTCCCTTCGGTAGCACCATCAATTTTTAAACCTTCATTCTCAGACATCTGAAATCACAGTGGATTGCACCCGGTCTCATGGCAGTATAACTCCATGTGTAAAACGTTCTTCTGTTAATTGAGACTTCTGAAGTCACCGTAGCCATTCCAATATTTGCACTCCGACTTGAAATATAGTTGGATGTGATGGAAGGCCACTCCAGCTACCATGATGCGGAACAGTCGCAACCCTTCGTAAGTAATACAGCAGCAGAAATGCTGAATGAGGCTGCGCGGAACGGCTCGATCGAGACCATCCGGCAGCTGCTGGATGAAGGGACAGATATCAATTCAAAGGTGAATTCTGGCTGGACAGCCCTCCATAGCGCTGTGAAGAGAAACCGGGAGGACATTGTCCGACTTCTACTTGATAGAGGAGCCGATCCACATGCTAGGCTGTTGAATGGGACCACCCCTTTTGTTATAGCAGGGGAGCGGGGGAACGTGAACCTTCTCCAACTTCTTCTTGATAAAGGGTCTGACGTAAATGAGCACGATTCAAATGGCTTCACTGCCTTCCTAGAGGCTGCTTGGTACAGGAATCTGCCTGCTGTGAGATTTTTGCACGAGAAAGGGGCCGATGTGAACTTCTGCAGAGTAGTCAATGAGGAGAAAAGGAAATTTGGCAAAGGAGGCCAGACAGCCCTGATGTACGCGGCTAGGAATGGAGATGACACGATGGTCAAAGCCCTGCTTGATGAGATGGGTGCTGCCTTGAACATCTGTGACAACCGAGGCAGGAATGCCTTCGTCCATGTTTTCATGGATCGCAAGGATTGGCCTTGGGGGGAAGAGAAGGAGAAACTAGCCCTTTTCCTTTTAAACAGAGGGGCAGATGTGACAGGCAAAAATGAATATGGGAAGACCACCCTAATCCTCGCAGTGGAAAGGCGGAGCCCAGTCCTGGTGCGGGCCATCCTGGAAAAAGGCGATGTTGACATCAACGCCAAAGACAACCGGCAGAAAACCGCACTGAAGGCAGCCGTGCTGCGGAACAACCGTGAGATAGCCAGACTGCTTTGCGAGAATGGCGCAGCCATTGAAAACAACCTGGAGATTGCGCAGAAGCACTTCTTTGATGGAATGATGGCCCTGCTTCGGCAGTTTGGTGCCACGCCTTGTCTCAGCCCTCCCCAGAAGACATATGCCTCCGTCAGTAAGCGGTGGGGATGCAAGCTGCAGGATCTCTGCAGATGGAGAGGTATGCCGCTTGGAAAACTTTCCAAGTTCTGCTTGGAAGCCTCTTACAAGATCCGAGGAACTTCGGAAAGGGGAGGGGTCTACCTGGGAATCTATGATGAGACTGAGGTGGCTGTGAAGGTGTTCCCAATCGATGCAGAAAATGCTAAGCAAGAGAAAGCCTGCTTTGAGAAGTGTCGAACCAGCAACCATTTGGTGAAGCTTTATGGGTGGGAAGAATGGAAGGCCTGTCTCTATTTGTGCCTTGCTCTGTGCGAGATGAACCTTGAGGAATATTTTGAGACGGAGGAGAAAGGACCCCTGAAGAGCCAAGAGATTCTTAAAACAATATTCCAAGCAGTGGAGGAACTTCATGGATTTGGGTTTGGCCATCAGGATCTGCACCCAAGTAACATTTTGATAGGTTTGTATTTACTCCTGTGTAATCCCAGTGAACTACATAGATCCATGGTAGAGAATATCTGGCAGAATCCTCATGTGACCCTGGGCTGCCCCTACTTTTCCAAAAGTGAATAACACAAAGGCACTAGGGTCCCCCAAAAAAATCCTGAAAGAGCATTCTGGAGGCTACCCCTCCGTTCTTCTCGCCTTCCAAGCACTTCCCCCCTTGGTTTTATAATTAACACTACGCAGATAGCATGCCATAGGGACACAAGACTTACGATTCGAAGGGACAAGCTTGGTTGATTCACCATGCCAAGGTGTCTAATACACCACCCTGAGTTTGGATACCATGCTTAACTGGCATGGCGTATAACCCACAGTGGGTCGGGATGCCCAGTATGGGCCTTTATTTATTTATTTGACACATTTCTATGCCATGTGATTAGCATAATGCTCTCAAAACAGTTTACGCTAATTAGGCGGCTCATACTGGGCACTTACAGGGAGGGAAAATAAGCTACAGGGGCTCATTTTCTCCCTGTGATTCCATGAATCCACCAAGTGCTTGCTAATGCCCTTCCTCCATTAGCATCGGTGTACCCCAGGATCCCTTGGCCACATGATGAAAAAGACCATGGTTCTCAAGCTTTATACGTAAAGCTCAGCTGTTCTGTTGTGTGTGTGGTTTTTTTTAACTTGATTTATCCTGATAGATATTGCTGGCAAAGTTTTCCTGGCAGACTTTGATAAAAGCACCAAGTTAGGTGGCAACAATGATGAGAAAGACGCGATAATCAAAGAAGACCTGAAGGTATGTTTCTTTTAAATTACGTAGCTGAAATAATGATTTCTTCTTATGCAGGCATTTGGATTGCGGGTGTATTGTCTCTCATAATTCTGCAAGGGAAAGGGGCCCGATGGTGGAGAAGCCCAGGGCATGGCATATGGAGGCATCTTTTTTTCCTTTGTTTCTAGCCATGCCAGCAATCCACGTGAGGTTGAGAGGGAGAGAGACCCCAGTAGCATCTTTGCTCAGCAGAGACTTGATACAAAGACCACATAGTCAAATCCAATATTGGAGTCATTGCATTAGACTTGCATTCCAACTTCTTGCTCATTTTATTGCATTAAAGCCCCTGTATCTGCACTGGAACACAACAAAGCAAATAACTAGGACAATCTTTGATCTTTGTGTGTTCTTGTTGTGGTTTCTTTGTTCTTTGGATTTTGTTCTTCGTAAGCCATCCGGAGACTTCTAGCTATGGGACGACATAGAAAAACTTTAAATAAATAAGAGAGCATATAACTAAAATGAAAAAAATCTGTCCAAGATCTGTGCAAGTTTGATTACAACACTGGTGTGTCAATAATGCAAAGCCACGCATGTCTATTCAGAAATAGCCATGGAAGCTTTAAAAAGGCAGAGGAAACCCCCCACCACAAGCAGCAGAGTCTAGGATAGCCTCCCAAGCACATCTAGTGTAAATCTCTCACAAGCAACTTTCTGGGGTGTTGTAAAGCATTAATGCCCTTTTCCCCAGGTGTGCCTTGACTGCATCCTGGAATCTCAAGCCCATTTGTCTTGACCCAGTGGAAGGAGTTTCCTTTTCCTATTGATTCTACGCATGTCCCTTCTCAAATCCCTCTTTACGATGGTTGTAGAATCATGGAATAGTTGAGTTGGAAGGGACATCTGGGCCATCAGGTCCGAGGCCCCGCTCCGTGCAGGCCTCTCAGGTAAAGTATCCATCACAGATGGCTGTCCAGCTGCATCTTGGGTGCCTCCAGTGCGGGGGAGCCCATGGTCTCCTTGGGTCACTGGTTTCCTTGGTGTCCTGCTTGAACAGTCAGGAAATTCTTCCGGATGTTCAGCCAGAAACTGGTACCTAGTGCAGGTTATGTGGAAAGCCATCTGTTTCATTTCCTTTTGGGCTACCTTCTGATTCCTCCCTCATCAGTGATCTCTTAGCCTAAGAAATGTTCTTTCCTGTGGATCCTGGGATCTACCTGAATCTGTTTGACCTCCCAGGGAGCCTCCCCCTGCATGCAGACTCCTCGTTCTTGTTACACGGGGAAGGCAGAGGGGAACCAAGCCAAGCTCGCTCGGCAGAGGAGAGGGAAAGTGGCCATGGAGCAGAGATGAGGCAGCGACAAGTAAGGACGACGACCTTAGGCCAGGGCTGAATGCGGCTGACCATTAGCTCTCTTGTGCAGGCTCTCGAAAAGCTGATTGTGTATGTGGCGATGAGGGGCAGGGTCTCTTTTGAAGACTTACCCTCACAGTGCCCGGCTGATGTTGAGGATCAGCTGGAAATAGAAGACCTGAGAGCAAGTCTGAGCAACCTTGACGAAAGGATCCCGGTCAGCAAACACCTGCGATTCCTGCTCTCCCATCCTTATTTTTGGAGCAAGCAGACGTGAGTATCGCAGAAATCCAGGAGGCCTTCCTCCGCCACGAAGCCCTCCTTCGCTTGTCACACTCCTCTCTGACTTTGGATGGGCTCACACATGCAGCATCCAGCATTTCATCCCTCCGGACGTGATAGCTCTTAGCTGGCAGTATAGATTAGATAGCAATGCGGGGAATACCAAAAATCGCCAGATGGCAAAGGGAGACTCTGAATTTTGCGTTTGCTGGAGAGCAGAGGGGAAGATCCGTTGGTGTGGGAGGAAGGCCTTGCAACTACTTTTCTGAATGGTCAGAGCGCACACCCTCACGCCCCGGGCCTACCTGTGGCTATGCAGGTGTTGGCAGTGGAGGCAGGTGGCTTTTTGCCTGCCCTTTGACCTTCACGGGAGTTGTCCACGGTGGTCAGCCTAGTTATGGGCCAGAGTTATCGCCACGGATACCATGAAATCTGGAGTAGATGAAGAACCTTGGTGACACTGGAGTCTCCTGCTTCCATTGTAGAACTGCAGTTCCCATCAGCCCCAGCCAGGCTAGGCAGTAACCAGTGATGATGGAAGCCTTGCCTCAAGTGTATCTGGAGAACTGCCTTGTTTCCTGTCCCTGATCTAACCTTTCTGAACATACCATTTGGATACAGCCTGCCTGCCTGCCTGCCTTCTTTCCTTCCCTCCTTTCTTCCTTCCTTCTTTCCTTCCTTTCTTTCTTTCAAACACTTCTATGCCGCCCCCATCGCAACAAAGCCTCAAAGCGGCTCACAAAGAATACATAAATGCATAATTAATAACAGAACAACAAATGTTATAAGCAGAGCATCTCCACACCCATAATTTAATACAGGATGGCAGTACATTCTCAGAATAACAACACAGTGCTAGGAGCATCACCAGCTTGCCTCCCATTTTCAGGAAGTACAAGTTCCTAAGAGATGTTGGGAATGAGAGTGATATTAAGACACGGGGCACTAAGCACCACAATGATCAGAGTGAACTTTTGAAGGCCTTGAACCGGGAGGACGATCCATTCAAGGACTGGACTGAAAAGGTGAGCTCTCGCGTGGGTGCCACAGTCTCGGCACTAGTGGTCTGCCAGGACCTGGTCCCCTGGCAGAGCCCTCGCCGACACACCCCTTTGCAGCGGAGCGACGCTGCCATCCTTGCGTGCTGAGCGGCTCGTGGGCACCGTCTCGACTTCCCACAGAAGGTCCCCAGTGAGGCGCATGTCAGGGCGCTGGGGGAAGTGGAGCAAGTAATGAGACCAGCCAGCTTTGCTGCTCTGATAGAGGAAGGGCCCACCACAGAGCCGTTGGGCAGCGAACTCATCCGGCCCAGAACTGTCCGTGGCAGGGTGCTTCCTTGCAGCATCCGTTACGTTGCAACCTGTGGGGATCCCGGGGGCTGAAAGAAGCCCGGTTCATTCCTTGTTCACAGAGGCATAACTGGGGGAGCTACACGTTACACTGCCTGTGGACACTGTACTCGGTGGCAGGAGTGCCGGGGAGAGCCAGATGTGGCACGTGAGCTTTGGGAATGAGGTTGTGTTTACGAGAGGCACAAACAGAAATGTTTTAATTCATTGTTCAAAGTTGAAGTATCGGTGTTACTACCATTCTACCTATAAGCTTTTAGGGCAGAAAATGTCCAAGTTACACAGAAAGAGTGCATTTCCAGACCCCAAATAATTTGGGATTTGGATCTCTTTCAGATACATAAAGAAGTTCTGGAATGCATGGCTGACCCTTTTAGTGAGCGGGACAAGAAAAAGAAAAATAGACCCAAGAAAAATTATGAAAACTGTGTGACGGATTTGCTGAAGCTGATCAGGCACATTGGCGAGCACTTCAAAGAAAAGGGGGACGAGTAAGTGGTGCCCAGCGACTCCGGCTGCACGGCTTCCCGGCCCGCGTGACAGAGGCCTGCCACGAGGTTCCCTCTTCTCGCGTTCCCGGTGCAGCCTTCCCCAGCAGCGGACACGCAAATGTGTGGATCCTGCCCCAAAGCGGGCTGCTGCGTCCCGTCCCCCTTTTGCAGACTGGGCCACTGAGGGCTCTCTCCCGTGCCGCACACCCTTGGTACTCATCCCGCCTCTGGGCCGGGACCTTCTGGGGCCTCCGACACGTCTGCAGCAGCATCCCCGGCCACCTCGGCCCCTCGCGTGTCTCATCCAGGCCGCTGCTGTTGGGCATCCAGGGGATGCACCAGGGAGAGGGAGGAAGGCCGTGGGGGGTAGATGGGGCTTGGCATGAGCAGTCAGCCCAGTTGCCGCCTGCCTCCATCCCTGGCATGGTCCCTTTTGTCCTGTCCGAGGCCGTAAAAGTGACTTCCAAGAAGCTTGAAACCTGTTTTGGGTGCCTCCGCAATTCCCCCTTCCCCCCGGGCAGTATTCCCTGGAATTTGTGGTAGGAGATTCCTAGTTTCCTCCCACCACTCCCTCAGGTTTGGAGTTCATCCTAAGCAGATACAACTTCAGGAAGTGGCCAAACAGGAGGGAAACCCTGACAGGTTTATGATTAAAGGGACAAGGCTGCCTGTTAATCAAGGCATCTTTTTTTCGGGAAAAGCTTTGGTCTTGTCTCTGTTCCCCTTCCTTAAACAGGAGTCTGGTATGCAGGCTAAAGTTACACACACTGTGCTCCAGAACCTTTTCTAAATATGTGGACATCAGCCACTTCCTGGTGAATAAAGCCAGCCTCTCAAACCTAGCTCCAGGCTGATTCGCCCAAGAGATCTGCGTTGCTGAAGGGCTTCTTCTGTGTACATAAAAGCACGTCTCAGCCATGTCCAAGCACATCCTGAGCAAGTGTGTTAAGACAGGTTAAGCTGAAAGATTGTGAGGGGCCCAGAACCACCCGGGATATTTCCTGGTCAAACAGAAACCTGAAACCATCGCAAGAAAGTGAGATTGAGTCCACCGTGATGCCTCAGTGCACAAAGCTTGAGGACTCACTTCACATTCGTGCCTGGAGGAAACCTTCCAGTGCACCAGCAGCAAGGATGGCCCATGAATTAAAAACTGGTGCCGGGCTGGCCTTGGAGACGCCAGGCTAGCCTTACTTCTCGCCTTTCCCCTCTCACATCTTCCGCAATCCGTGTGTCTTGCAAGAAGTTCCCTTTCAGTCCTCATTGGCTGGCAAGGAGGAGCAACTCCCAGCTTAGGGGCATTGTACCCCCAGAAGGCTTCCTCATGGGAGAGCCAGACCTGAGACTGGGATTTTCAGCATTACTTCCGTGTCCTCCATAACATTTCATGCTGGCCTGAGACACACCGCTTTGGAAGCAAGAAGTAGAGATCAGGGGAATCTGCTCCCACGATTTATGCAACAATTTATATAAGGATGATGTCTGATGAACAGAAAAACAGAACAGAAAGCAAAGCATCTTTGCTTTATATCCTGAAATCGATTGTTAGAATCATTGACCCTAAGCATAAAAAGAAAAGAAAAGAAAAACCCAGCTGAGGAAGCTGAGGAGTGACTGTGTTGACCTGGGCACAGAATCCTTCGTGCATCATGCAAAGAGCTGACTAGCCCTCCAAGAGTTGCAATTTAACAGTCCATCTTTTCCTTCTTTTCAGGGTGAAAGAAATCATCAAAGACCCTGCAGACTACTTCCTGGATCACTTTCCAAATTTAACCATTTATGTCTATCGAAATTTGTATGATACACAGTATAGTAAACATTTTCCTCACACAGAGAACTATTCTCACTTTTGAAGGCAATCGGCAAAAGCCGATTGCTTTAGTTTTTCTCCATCATATTGAGAAACAAGCTGAAATAAAATAGCATTTCAGCAGGCACAATACAAAGGGATAGAAAAAACCCTTCGTCTCACAGAAACAAGCTTTTATTTTCTATGCTTTTGCTGTTGGATCTGCAGGTTTGGGGAGAGTTAAGGACCTCGGCTAGCTTGCCATGGATGCCTTCTCTCACCAGCCACAAACCAAAGCGATGGTGCTGTTAAGGTAATCTCTGCATTTGATGTTCTGGAGAGAGAAAACAAATACATTCCAATATGTGCAAATTTGATGAATGGTAAGTAAGAGGAGGGGAAATCGACACAGGTAACATTGACATAATAGTTGGATATGGGCTGCTGCGTTTTGGTCAAAGTTCTGGTTTGTTACTTCTTGGAGGCAATCTTTGTATTCTTTGCTGTTTCGTCTTTCTAATGGATTTCTGAGCAGTTGATTGACTTTGTATCGTTTTTTGGTACAACCAACAGTAAAGTTGGTGAGAATGTATTTGTACACGTTGGCTGAGTGACTAAGGAATGATGCTTCTAGAGAACTCTTTTGTTGGGTAATCGCCCTGCTTCATTTACAGAATGGATCCGTGTAGCCTGTTGCAGAAAGCCAACCCTCATGGTCCCAAATGCTTTACAGATTGATCAAGGGGAAGAAGCAGGAGCTTTCAGCCCCTAACCTGTGAACTAAATCCCAGGATCTTCTCTAGGTGTGGCCGGGGTCTTGGGAGATGCTTTGAAAAGCCAGCCTTTCCTTCCTGTTGTAAAATGTTTGGGAAGAACCACTCAGATGAACCTGTGCAATGGTGTCATTGGACGGGAATGATCGTTCAGGAATGAATGAGCCCAGACGTGCTTCAGTATACACACGGGACCATTGTGGCTACTCCTCTGAGTAAAGGACTAGCAGAAGGAAGAAAATGCTGCTGAATGGGGACAACTTCAGGAATTGCTACTTCCCAAGGGCACTGTTTGGGTCCAACCTTCTGAATCCCCACACTGAATTATACTATAAATGGTGTGCGAATGGTTAAGCATCACTGTTGATAACCTCGCTATTGGTAGCTACTCTGGATAGTGGTTTTGAAGACCAAACGTCCCCCAAATGCATCATCTAGCTTGCAATTCAGTCTTAGTTACACAATGAGTGAACCTTTGGGCCTTATTGTGGGTTTTGTACATGCACACCCTGAAATCCTTGCCCCTTCATTGGGAGCCCGGATTTTGTCACACTGAAGGGTTTCCCTGTTTCTGCCTTCATGAGTTTGTGTCACAGATTACCAAACATTACAGGAGATAAGATACTTTCATCTGCCAGCACAAAGAACCTTTCCCGTCTGACCCTGGGAGCCCCGTGGCTTGCTATTCTCGTATCCAAGAGCACCAGTACGGACCCGCTGCAGAGTTTTGCCATCCAGGGTGAAAGAGCCAACACCATCCTCTTCATTGTGCCCCAAGAAGGCCCAGCAAGCAGCCAGCTATGACGCCTTTTTTGGACTGTCTAGAAATGATGCCCTGTGCATGAAAAACGAAAAGGATCACTAGCAATTCCACACGGGGATGTGCAACTCTTTCTAAACTTGTTGCAGCATTATGTATGCAACTGGATAAGAAAACTGCTGGACCACCAGTGCTAAAGGACTGTGGCTTGTGCATGACAAAGGCACGGAGTCATAGTGGTTGTACACAAATACATGAACACATCCTAGGCACAAACACATGGACATTGCAACCAACACAAAATCCATTCTGGAATCTGGAGAGTTCAGACTTTTGCTTCTCAAAATTCAAAAGGAAGCAGCAGCCTCTTCCTTATTATTTACATTGCATTTATAAGTGGCCTTTTGCTCTTGTGGGGAACCTAAGGGATCCTTGCAACAACAACCCTGTGATGTAGCCCACTCTGAGAGGTTGCGACTGGCCCAAAGTTACCTAATGAGTGGGGATGGGGGTTAGCCCTAGCTGCAGAACTGCTGTGAGGATAAAGCTTGGGGGATTTGTATACTGCTCTGGGGTCACTGGAGGAAAAGTGGATGAAAATATTCGTCAGGGAGTGCAACATTTCCAGTGTTGATGCCTTGCCTGATTATCACTGCATATGATGAGGACTGCTTCAACTTCATCACACTCTGGGGCCTCACCATGGCCTGGAAGTCGTAATATCTACCCATAGACTGGAGGAATTGGCCGCCGTTGATGTAAGAGACTGTGCATTTCTAAGGCAAAACAGTTACTCTGGAAGAAGGTGAGCTAATTTGCAGAATGGACATCTAAGCTGTACATTTAAACCTGCTTGGCTGTCCTCTGAAGACTCCTAAAACTAGCTTTTTGAGAGTCCCAAGTATCCTTTGCTAGATGACTCCAGCTCCTCATAGATCCAGAGTTTCAAAGGTTCCTTCCTCTGCTTGGAAGCATGATAGGTAAAGAGGCATGAAACCGGTCCACGGTTTCTCAGTCTGCTTTGAGATTGCGCCACTTAATTTGGAGAGTACCATTAAAGAAAGGGGAAATTCCATGTTTCTTCTGCATTGCACCTATTGAGGGATTGCCTCACATTCTTCCACTCTGCCTAGATGGGCGATCGTCCGTCACTGGAGAAGTTGGATTTGCTCGTACAGTGCACCCCCTTTTGTGCTCCACTCTCTGGGACTTTCCGATCATGTTTGGAAAGGAGGTGTGAGAACTCAAGGACACTTACCGTTTCTGGGGTGCACAGAGCCCAGTTGAGGACTTCCTGTTGTAGTGGCCTAAGCTTCCAACAGAAGCTGAGAAGGGAAAGAAGAGGCAACATAGTAAATCCAAAGCACTCTCCAGATTAGGCAGTTGACACAACTTTAATCTCTACATTCATTTCCGTCTTCATCTCCGGCTAGGATGCTGCCTCCAGGGGTTTGGGCCACAGCTGCTTGGTCTGCTGGATACCTTGCTCAAGAGTTTACTGGTTGATGGAAGGATAAACCAGTCCCAGGGTCAGAATCAAGTGCCTTGGCTGGATCTTTCGAGCCGTGTTTGCTTCAGTGCAGACCTCCCCAAACTGGTGTCCTCCAGATATGTGGGACTGCAAGTCCTATCATTCCCAGTCAGCATGATGGATGTGCTAGTTAGGAATCGTAGGAGCCACAGTGTGACACAACGGAAGGAAACGGGTCGGAAGGTGGCTGCTCTGTGTGTCTACCTGACCTATTGCTTGCAGTCCAGGTGAAGTTCAGGGAGGATTTTGCCAATCCCTTGGGAAAGCCAAACAGGTGTTGCTCCAGAAGTCTCGGCCTCCCCGGCCATGGGACTGGTGTCGTTTCCCAGAATGCTCTGGTCTATCTGGATCTCCCTTCTCACCACCCTTCCTTCTTTCCTTCCTTGTCTTCCTTGACCCAACGATCTGGTTGCCCACCATGGGCAGAGACTGAACCAAGCCAGCAGAGCTCTGGTTCCCAGCATTCTCTAGACTGCTACCCAGCCAATTCCGGATCAAATTAGGGGAAATACATTCTGGAAGTTCTCACCCTAATTCCCCATGAATGGCTGTAGGTGGAGTATGAGGACGGTGATGCCAATGACTTTGGAAAAGAGTGGCAGGTCCTCAGATCTCTGGTGGGGGCATTCAGACAACTAGGACCAACCCAGCTCAGGGTTGCTGTGTCCCCGCAGCATGATAACTCACATTTCTCTCCAGGCAATTCATCCACCTCTTCTTTAGGCTGAGGCAGAAAGAGCTGGATTCCTTTGAGAATTGTATACCTGATGATTGGATGATCTTCTGTTTAAAAAAATGAAGAGAGAGACAGAGCAAAATATAACTTAGCACTCTTCATCACTGCACGATTCAGCATTCTTTGGAGTATCAAATCCAGTTATCCCAACACACAGAATATTGTCCAAACATCCTGGCATGAATAAAAGCAGTTTTAAAGCAAGCGTAATGCCCAACTAGAGACTGTTCTGATTTATTCCAGTCTAAAGATGGCTAGACTTGTTTGGCAACCATGCAGACCAGCCCAGAATTAGGCAGGCAAAGGCCACTTCTTCAAAAGTCAGTGTTTTCAGTGAAGTTTCTGCATATGTTGCAGTCATCATGTGTTGCCACCACAAGGCTGAAGGTTTCTGCTCTGGAAAAATATCCAAGACACTGCATGGAAGGCAAAAGGAGTTCCACTGAGTGTAACAAAACTTTATCCGTGTATATATTTGCATTTTTAAAAAGTTGCCTACTCAGAAAAGGCACCAAGGACATGAAAAGGGGTAAGATTTAGAATACATGGTCACTATGTTAAGAAGGCTATTAATTATAATGAATGTATATCTGGATAACAGCAAGACACGATTATTTTTCAGGATACTTCCTAGGGAAAAAGCTGGTATTTATTATTTATTTATTAAAACATTTCTATGCTGCCCCATTCGCCGAAGCCTCGGGGCGGCTCACAACATAAAATTAAAATACAACAAATAACAATATAAAATACAACAAATAATATATTAATTAAATTAAAATACAATTAAAATACAACAAATAATATATTTCACACCCTTTAGAATCCAAGCCTTCTTAAAAAAAAATAATCCAGCCTTCATAATTGTACTGGGGCAGAGAATCCGAAAATATATTACTAAGAACTAGAAACAAGAAGCTCAAGGGAAAAGAAGCCCAAACGTTTCTTTATGTCTCAAGATTTCCAAACCTTAAAATCTTCTTCAGGATTTCTGCTCAAAGGGCCACACCAGATGAGGAGACCTGAATGAGCGACACAAGCAGGGCATCTTTGGTAGTGGCTCCCCAACGGCTGGCTGCCCCTGCCAGAGAGGTTTCCTTGGCACCATCCTCAGGGCCTTTTCAGCCTCAGCAGCCTTCTTGTTCCTGTTTGCTTTTAAAATCACGTGTGTATTCAGCTGGAAAATTGGTGTTTTAAGCCTGGGGTTGTTTCCAGTTTTATTTTTCTTGCTGTATTTTACACTATCTTGGTTTTATATGCTATATTTGATATTTTAATGGCTTCATATTCCTTGTAAGCTCTAGGTTATGCAGGGGCATACAATGATCATAATAAATTAAAATAAAATAGCAAATATTTCTTTTATTTTTCAAAAGAGGGGAGGGGAGGGTGTTTGCGTATGCCTGCAATGGGCTGAGTGTGTGCTTGCATGAATTGGGGAGAAGAAATCAGCAGGGAATCCACCCGCTTAAGAGTGTGGCCTGCAATCCGACTGAGCCAGCCCTCTGTCTCACCAGAATGGTTCTTTGACCCCCATGTATTGGCATCCTTTACAGAGCTGCACAGGTTCAAAACACAGGTGTTTCCAGGTGCACTATAATGCAACTTCACTGGATATAAAAGGTTAAAAGTGCAGAAGGAAATTAGCTTAAAGAAACAAGAAACAAAATATAACCAAGGATGAGGATCTCTCGATGAACGCTAAAGATTAAGTTCTGGGGATTATTGTTAATTTTTCTTGCTGTTACAGTTGGCATTTTGAAATCCCCAGTTATATGCAGAGTAAAAATCGCCACATGATAACGGTGTGTGATATCAACTTTCTTCTTTCCTGTTTTGTTTGCATTCCCATAAGAGACCGGAGGTGACATGCATAGTATAGAGAGCCAGCGTGACATGGGGGTTGAGAGCACGGGTCCTGGGCTCAGGCGACCCGGGTTCGAGTCCCCACTCAGCCATGGAGCCAACTGGGTGACTCTGGGCCAGGCACAGACTCTCAAGCCAACCTACCAATGGGGTTGTTGGGATGAGATTTATTTATTTAATTTATGCGTGTATTTATAGGCCGCCTATAATTGCTGAGGTCTTCCTAAGCAGCTTACAATACATCAAACACATTAACAAAATAAAACCAATTAAAACACAACGAATTAAAACATCTTTGAAAGCAATATAAAAACGGCCACAGCTGTTCAGGCTGTTAAAAAAATTTCCTAAAGAGGTATGTCTTTGCCTGGCACTGAAAGGAAATAAAGACTGTGCCAGGTGAATCTGAGAACAGAAGTAGAACAATGGTCTAAACTGCTAAAAAATCTGGGATAAAAATCTAATAAATAAATGTGACCCATAAAAGCGGTGTTTGCTAACCGCGTGGGAACTCGGGCGATGATCCGCTCAAGGACCCCTCCCTACAGTATTTATTTATTATTTAAAGATGTTCAATACTAAAAGTCTTTGGCCGGCTTCTAAAAAACTAAGCAAACAGTAGCATTAACAAAAGTCTGCTTGGATTGCAACTTCTACCCTCGTCGGACTGGAGTTCCTTTACATTTAAAGTGTTTCCTTGCAGAAGAGACACGATTTCTTCTGCCCTGTGATGACGTCCCAACCTGAGGACGTTCCTTGCCACCTGCCCCACCTGGCCAGAGGCTGGTCTAGCGCAGATCTCGTAACTCCCAGCGGATGCAAGAGGGGAGCCCGGTGCTTCGCTTACCTCCACTGAAGCAACTGATCTTCCGAGCGAGTCTCGCAGGAGGCACTGGAGGAGAAAGGACGGCTTTCTCTACCTTCGCTTTTTTGAAGCCCTTCATTACCTTCCAGTGGCAATACCTGCAAGGAAAACATTGGCAGGGGCACCTTTTCTTGGCACAACTATAGCTTGCCTGGGGTGGCGGGGGGACCCATGGTTTTGCGGCTCGCACCACTTCTCCAAGAAGCACTTCGAGGCTCATTTCGGCTCGCTCTCAGTTTTGTTCTGCCTTTGTGTTCCAGTTCATTCAAACAGAGAGAAATTGCATTTCAGATGGGAAAGTTGGCATTTCGTGGAATCACAGAACTGGAAGGGGCCATGAAGGCCATCAAGTCCCAGCCCTGCTGTTGCAGGACACCACGTTACCCCATCCCACGCAGATGGCGATACCGCTGCGCAGATGGGTCCAGGCGTGCCCCATTAGCTGAGGCGAAAAAGTGCACATTTTTTTAAACGCACATTCCAAAGTGCACATTCCAAGAAAAGGAAAAGAACCTTGCTCATTTTCTGAGTGGGATCATAAATTTGGGAATTTGTAAACACTTCTTGCTGAGGGATTACATGCATGCCTGCTCATTCCTGCATTGGAGATTGTGCATAGGACACCTTTGATGTGCAACCCGAAATGAAATCCCCACACGTCTCTCGTGGAGCATGCGGGACAGACCTCCATCGCTGACTGGGAGAAAGCCAAAGGAGGGGAGAATCGCCCCACAAGCTGCCCAGGCCAACCTGCCCCGGTGCCCCACCTGGCCGGTGGACTGCGCTTGGTTCGGAGAGTTACCACAGTGGCACGGACAGGCCTGAACCGACGCCGCACGGATTCACGCAGCTTCTCTCTTGTCCCTTTGCTTGGGCAGCTCTTCTTCCAGCATGTTGATTGATCGCATGATTTATTTTATTTATTTAAAACATTTCTATGCCGCCCCCATCGCAACAAAGCCTCGGGGCGGCTCACAGCATAATTAAAACATATAAATAACAATGAATACAATTAGAGACTAAAATGCCTGGTTGCACCTTGGCTTAAACATTTAAAATCCTATAAATACCATAATAAGTTAACAATTAAAATAAGTTTTAAAGAAAAAGGTCTTGGCCTGGCGCCGAAAATCAAATAGCGATTTAAGTGTTTGCCAAAGGGCCAGGACGAGTTTAGCCACGGTCAGCCACAGCCATTATTTTAATCCCATGCCCCTAGAAACCAGTCCCTTCTTGATCAGGTTATGATTCTGCCTCTGTGCTCCAAGCACAACTTTGGGCTGGGATTTTTGAATCCACTTATAATCCTGATTCAGGCACACTGGCTTCATCTGTAACCACAGCAGGATAGATGCATCCATAAACCCAAGGAGGAGACACCTACCTCTTCCAGAAATACAACAAAACTGGGAATATGGAGACGATAGCACCATGATAAAGCGTTCTGTTCAGCACCCCTTCAGCAATTAAAGCCCGGATCTGGACACACTGGGCATCTGTGAGGTTGACCTGCCACAGAGGAGAGGCCACGTCAGAAAGCAGGCGGCAAGCGCAACGATCCTCAGGTAGAGAGGAGGAACCTTTCGCAGGACAGCGGGGTGGCCTCTCCCCAGCCGCTGAGGTGCCCCCGCCGCAGCTCTTTTGAGACTGCACTCAAGTCCACCGTGCGGGCAGAACGCCAGGGGAGATGGGCTCCTGGCCTGATCCGGCATGGCTTTTTGTCATTTCTCAGAAGCCCCAGTGTCTCCCCTTTGTGGGCCGATGGAGGAGAAGTAGTCTCGCTGCTTTGGAAAGCGTGCTTCCAGGTGTCTCACCCTTAGTTTAGGTGGAATATCTGAATTCAAGAAGAGTTTGTTGATGGTGGCCACTTTGCTCTTCAGGAAGGCGATGTCTTTTTCGGTGTACAGTCCGAGAGAGGCCAGCACGACCACTGAGTCAGCCAGATGGAAAAACCTGTGGAAAGAGCGGGCATGCCAAGGTAGGAACAGAAGGTGGGAGGTAAGCGAGCAACAGAGCAGCAGCCCTCTCTGCAACCCAGGAAGGATGAAGGCCCAGCTCACAGCCACTGGCTGCAAACCGGACTAGCCTCAGATTGGGCCAGGGAGCCTCCGCCAGTTTGGGGGCCACAAGCAGCATCTTCCTCTGGGTTCCTTCCACTCCAGTATAGGGCAATAGCCATATAAACTCAGCACTGGCCCCGTTTGGGTTCCTAGCTTGTATGGCCTGCTGGGAAAGCATTCCGGGGAGAAGCTTCTCCAGGTTGCTGTTGTTAAGCCCTAGGAGGTGCCTATGTAAGGCAAGAAAAAAGCCCTATTTAACGGAGTCTCCGATCCCAAGTGGCATTTGTGTGAGGTGGACTTCTGTCATCTGCAGCACCAGCGCAGATCGCGACGTCCGAGGGTCATGATGGTGCGCTGGGGACAGGCAGATGTCGGTCCTGCTTCCGCATTACAAGGAGGAAGCAGCCTGGGTGGGGTGAGCCGGGAGCTGAAGTCCAACACCTCCGGGGACTCCACGCTGGGGAAGAAGGGTGCATCCAGTGCAGCAAGGGCGAGACTCTGACCCACTCACTTCTCCATCTCCAGATAAAAATAGAGGTCGTTGACCAGGAAGTTCACCGAGATGATGCGGCTCCCAAAAATCTTGCGTTTTGCTTGCATGACCTCAACGTCCTCGGACATGCCGGAATATAACCCGGGACGCCCACTAGGTCCACTGATGCTCAGGCGGGCCTGAGTTCCTGGGCTTGGCAGGTCTGGAAAGTGAAAAGGAGATGCGCCCGTCCTAGCCCCTTTCCTACCCCTCTGGCTGTTGGCCAATCGAGGCGGTACAGAAACGAGGCGATGCACACATCCAGCACGATGGACGTGCTCGGATGCTTGAGGGCTCCGGCAACGTGAGGGCAAGCCTAAGCCGATCTGGAGAGAAAAATGTGGCGCAATTCCGCCCGGCACACCCCACTCGGTCATGCCAAGTAGCGCTTGCTTGAGATGCATCATCTCACTAGGGAGCAGAATTAACCGGGGCACTTCTGAAAAGGGGGCCGGCATGCCGTGGGGGCTTAAATAAGACAGAGCAGGAAGGAAACCCAGGGAGACGCCCGCTATGGCATTCCCGGGTACAATGTGGGAGGAGGGAAGCAACCGTGGACGCACTTTCCTTGTCATTTTTTATTTCCCGGTGGAGGAATTCTTCAAAGAGCTTGCGATGTGTCACGTAACTCATCGCCTTTCGGAACCTGCAGACAGTCCTGACGAAGGCGGCGAGAGCGTACCAGCACCTTTTCTGGAGAAGAGCACCTCGTTAGCTGTGCGCAACCCCATGCAGCTGGCTCATCCATGAGACAAGAAGCCACACCTTTTTCCCCCAGCGAAAGCCTTCGAGTTAAAGCTTGAAATGTGAAGGGTTTTGACATTCGAAGCTCCCGGTTATTCATATTAAGCTCAGTTTCCCCTCTAGAACCCAGTAGAGTTGTAACCGTCTCCATTTCTCAGCCATGGAGAATAGAAACCCTCATGAACTTTCTTCTTTTCTCTCCCACCCCCACCTCTAGGCAGCATTATGATTACAGTGGGGTTAAAACTAACCATGGTTACCCCAAACCATGGCTTGCAAATCTACTTCTAACCATGGATGCACACATAGCCAACCATAGATAGCTTTAATTTGTGCAGATATAGAATCGAATCATGGTTAGTTCTCCCAAGGAAGGGAAAGTGCAAGTGAGTAGAAAAAGAGGGGAAGGAATCCTTTCGGCTGCTCTCATTCTCCTAACCATGGTTATAAAAATGGGACAGCTCTGCCTTCATAAGGCCTAATGAGTATCTCTTAGTGCTGCCCTTCCCAACCTGCAAAAATGATGAGATACATGTAAAATTCAAGGAATCACTGCTTTCAGGGTGGAGTGCTTCCCTTGTGACCTCTGACTGGATCTTGTCCTCAAACTTCCCAACCAGCAGTTCACAGAATCATAGCATGATAGAACATCAGAGCTGGAAGGGACCAAGAAGACCTTTGTGTCCAAGCCCCTGCTCAACGGAGGGCTGCAAATTAAGGCAACTCTAACGGAGGGCTGCCAAGCTGCCTCTTGGATGCCTCCGGGGTGGGAAAGCCCACACCTCCCTAATTTTACTGGGATGAGTCTGTTCCTGGAGCTGGAAGTGATAGGAACCTACTTTGAGCCAACACTGTCTCCGGCATAATCCTTATTTTGATGATTGCAGACAACTGGTTTTGCTTCCCTCATGGAATGCCCAGCATCTTTGACTTCCTGGAAACTTAATGAGCTTATATGCTCTTGGAGGATTAGTTTCTGGGCAGCTAAGTCAGTAGGTCATGGGCCTTTCTAATTTCAAATATAGTATAAATCTAAAGCAGAAGGTCATTAATGCAAATTCCTCTTCCACTTACCATCTTTTCTTTGATCATGGAAGTCCTCCTTGACCTTCCCCCACCAGGTGGAACTAATGTAAGATCGTTCTCAGGATATAAGCCTTGATACATTTTAAACCTGCCAGAGTCCAGTAGAAAGGACAGCGAATAACAGGAAGAAATTAGTTTGTCATCTGCACGATTTTGACATCATCTTCTTTCAGTCATCCTGCCCTTGCCCAGATCTTTCTCAATGGAAAACTTGGATATGATGTGCTCACCCAGTCTGTCTCAGGACTGGGTGAGCACATCATCCCGTACTCCTTAAATAAATTCTCCCCCTGTTCCCGCTTAATGTATTGCGACATTTAGTAATTTACATGTCTTATATAAATCAGACTCAATTTTGTGGAATTGCAAAGATATAAATGTAAATTAAGAACTGGAACATATAAAGGTAGATGGCAATTCACAGGAAAGCGTGTTGGAAAAAGATGGCGCTTGGGCCACAGGAACTTAAACTAACATTCTCTTGAAACTCTGTACTAGAAGCATTCTGCTTCTGGGATCTTGGAATACAACAACTCATTAGATGCTCCAGTGCTGTATTGGATGAGTTCCTTTGGAAGAGTGGGGAGGAAGTTATGGAAGTTCAACAGGGAGTGTAGTGAACTTTCTCAGTGTCCAAAAGCAAGAGGATTTCTTGAAGGACTTCAGCTGTTAGAAATGGCACCCGAAATAACTGTCTTGGAGCTGCCTTCCCCAGTGATTCTGCAGTTAAGAGCTGCTTTTGCTGTGAGACAAAAACGGTTTGCCTTACTAAAGCAACTTTGCCCCACAACCTGTTTCCCGGGAAAGGTGTGCACTGGCAGTTTTTGCAACAGGGGAGAGAAGAACTTTATAACTGTGGCAAGAGGAGTTCTCATTTGGTCTCAGTCTGGAGAGAGGGACTGAAATGTTACTACCACAAACTACTTTGGAAACTCACAATGCATCTCCTGGGCTATTCAGGGAACCAATCTAATCACAGATAAAGGGGCTGTAACCTTTCTTTTGCATCTTTACATTTTACATCTATATTTTATCATTGTATTGCTGGTCTTTACAAACCCTGTGATATATTTTGCATTTTCAGTGTACACACCATTTCTCTTCCAGGATCTTCATGACTTCCATTTGGGCTGTGACCAGCATGGGAACTGTGACGAGATATGCCCTTGGAATCTCTTTGATGATGTCCGCATTGCACTGCAGCAGCTTTTCTGGATTGGAGGGGAAAATACAACATCCTTTCCAGTATTTCTTAGCTTATTTGTGCCCCTGGGTGATGCTGCAGGACTGGGCAACACTGGGTGGACAGATGACCATTAACAGCCTTTGACGGAAAGGGAGCAGGGAGCGAAACGGTGCATGGGTGGGCGAGAGGAGAGGCAGAACCTCTCCCTTGGAGACGGGGGTCCACGCAAGCACAGGCTCCATCCGAGCTACTCCCAGGACCGACCCGGAGAGATGTCTAAGCAGGCCAGGTCAGGAGCAACTAACAGGCCTCCTGAGAGGAGGCATCTCTCTGGGCCTGGGAGAGCAGAGCTGTCCTTTCCGCCTCCTCTTTCAGCCTGCTGCATCCTGGTGCCTTCCAGATGTGCTGGGCCACAGCTGCCAGAACCTGGCTGGGGCATCCTGAGAGCCACACTGCAAAACATCTGGAGGCCACCCCTGGCTGGAAAAGACGCTGCACTCAAGGATCCCCACCAAGGGTCCAGGGAACGCCCAGGAAGCTCTGCCTTTCCATCCGGACTCGCAGGGCAGGTGGGAGCTCCCGTGGCTAACGGAGCCGGGGGCTGGCTGCCGTGCCTCATGGGCCCCAGGGCACTGTGGCTGCTTGGCTCCTGGAGCCGGGCATGCACACCGGGTGGGATGGCGTTGAAGAAGAAGGTTCTGACGCAGTCGTTGATCTGCGCACGCTGCACCCTGCTGCTGGGCTCGTTTTTCAGTTCCTCCACCGCCATCCAGAAGAGCAGCGCTGCCTCCGCGTAGTGCATCTTGAGGAAGTGCCGGAAGTAATCCAGGTGCAGAGGAGTCTGCAGCACCTCCGAGAGAGTTCTGGAAGGCAAGGAGGGGAGACCGGGCAGCGGAGGGCACCATCTCCTCCATGCTGCAGTGGGAGGAGGGCTTTCTCTGCAGTGGCGCCCAATCTATGGAATGCGCTCCCCAGAGAGGTCCGCCTGGCGCCGTCGTTCGGCGCCAGGTGAAGACCTTTTTATTTAAACGTCACTTTAATTGTTAACAATATTTGCTTATTTATCTGGCCAGGGCGACTTCTTTTATATTTTATATTTTTATTTATTTTATATTGTTAATTTTAATTTTATATTGTTATTTTTGTATTTTATTGTATTTTATTGTGTTTGTAAGCTGCCCCGAGGCTTCGGCAAGGGGCGGCATAGAAATGTTCTAATCATCATCATCATCATCATCATCATCATCATCATCTCCTCCATTCAGGTGGTGGTGGTGGTGATGCATGTAAATCTAGGTCCCAGGTTGCAAATTATGATGCTCAGTGGAATGTAGAGACCAACAGAATGGGGCTTTTCCCATCCCATCCCATCCCATCCCAAGACAGGAAATCCAAAGAATCACCCATGTTCTCCACACAGTGTTGAAAAGCTCCTGTTCCTTTTAAAATCTAGTTTCTAGGTCTCATGAGAGACAGTGCAATGATGTTCACAGAGTGTGTGATGTGCAGATCCCCAGTGAGCTGGGATGCTTGCTGGGTGAGCTTGAGTTGGTGACCAATCTTCAGCCTTGCTGGCCTTGCAGCAGGGCTGAGAGGGTCTCCATGTTCCACGGCCCCTTCCTCCCCTGAGCCACCTGGAGGAAGGGGAGGACGGACACAGGCTGCGTCGAAGGATGCTTCAGTGTGTCTGGGTACCGCATGAGGCAGGGCGCCTTCCTTCAGCTTGTACAGACCCATCCTTTTCCATGTCTGCTATGGAGGAAATTCTACTGGGTTCAGGGGTATTGGCTCTCATGCAGGACGTAGGGGATCGTTTATTTATTTTGCATTTGTAAACTGCACCAAAAATCCTAAATAGGACTCTCTGGGTGGAGAACAATTAAAACCGATAAAATACAAAAATAGCCCAATTTAGACAGCTACATAGATCAACTAAATATTAACAGGTATAGTAAACTAAAGTCGTCAATAGATGCATATAAAAGTGAAAAATACTATTCAGTTACTAAAATGTCTAGGAAGGAAGATTATTGTGAAGACCAGGAGCAACAATACCTGAAGTGCATCTCCAACACACACACACACACACACACACACACACACACAGAGAGAGAGAGAGAGAGAGAGAGAGAGAGAGAGAGAGAGAGAGAGAGAGAGGCATTCAGTTCTTTGATGCTGAACACAAGATCACCTGGGAGGATGGTCTTGATCAGATAGGGTGGGCAATGACCAAGGACCAAACTAGATATGCCATTGTTTGAGTGGCACATAATTAACATTATAATTACATCAATTATAATGTAATTAACATGCACATTTTTGTTATGTCAATAGCATCTGCCTTAACAAAAAGCTCAACCAGGCCTCTTTTAAGTGGCTGTCTCCATTTTAAGGAATGGCTCCCAATGGTCTCCAGAGTGACTTCTCCTGCAGGACAAAAGCTGCACCTTGAAGGAAGAGACCAGATTCTTCTCCAGGGCTTGCCTGAATACGTGAGGAACCCTTTCCATTGTGCTGTGGCTAATCAGGCTTTAAAGAGGTACATGTCAGCTGCATTTGCAAAATTCACATCCCAGCTGATTTCAGCCTCCCCCTGGGAAGTGAAGGGTGGGACCGATCCTGTGGAGCAATACCTGGGCTTCATCAGGGACTTTTTTGAGGCGGCCCCCTTCCTCATGAAGGACAGGCTCGATCGGGTCCAGTGGAGGCTTCTCCTGGGTGCTAACGGTCGGTAGAACACTCCTGCAGGAGAAATACAGCCGTCCACAGGTGTCTTGGCAAGAGAGTTGAAGCCCAAGATTAAGTTCTCAAGCAACAAAGTTGGCAGAACCTTACAAATTTCTCAAGAACTGATTTCTGAGGACAACGAACTGAGGCTGACTCCAGAACATTTGCTTCCTTCAGCCACTTCCTTGTCCCTTCTCAGAGCCGAGTGGACCTTACAAAAACATGCTGCCACCTGCAACCTCTCCTGAACTCCAACCTCCACCTTTCCTTCTGCTCCCTCTTCATTCCAGAGACAGTTGCCCTGATTCCAGCACGGCAGGGACTCACCACCTGATGGACATTTCTTGCAGTATGTCCGGAAGTTCTTACTGAGAAGCTCCACGGCCATCTTCGGGTTCAGCTGGACCAGCTCCTCGAACGCCATGCTGCTGTAATCTGTTGTCGTGGGAGAGAAGCGGCAGGAAAGCTACTAGCACTGTTGGTCCTTGAGGCCAAGTCGGAGCGCTTGACCATCACGAGTCTTCGCACAAACATGCATGTGGGACACCCCTGGAGGCTGCAGTCCCGCTCACAGGACAAGTCTCTCTTGGGAGCATCCAGGGGACAACATCTGGAGCAACTCCAGAACAGCCATGCAGCTAGAGATGCGCCATGAGGAGCTCTCCCAGATGACGCAGCTCATCAAAAGACACTCTGGAGGCAGGCAGAGTTCCCTCCTCAACGTATGTGGTGCGATAAAAACATACAGAATAAGTGGTAGGAAGGGAAGACAATGCATGCATACTGGAAAATTCTGTGAATGATCATGGGGGATTGTACAATAAATTCTCATTTGGAAGCACTCCTGATATCTCTCTTCTCTTGCACTTTGTGATTTCTTCGCTTTCACAGCCACGTATTTTCCTTTTTTATATTTTTATTTATTTGTATTGCGATTTATATCCTGCCTTTTTCCTACAAAGGGCTCAAGGCAGCTTGCATCATCTCTCCTCCTCCATCTTATCCTCACAACAACAACCCTGTGAGGTAGGCTGGGCTGAGAGTCTGTGACTGGCCCAAAGTCACCCAGTTGGCTCCATGGCTGAGCGGGGACTCGAACCTGGATCCTCTGAGTCCCAGTCCCGTGCTCTTAACCACTACACCACACTGGCTCTCCTTTTATAAAGGACCCTTAATTTTATAAATTTGGGCAACTAATCTGTAAGAGAATTATCTTTCTCCTGGAATGCTAGGTGTATGTGGACACCTGTATGAATTACCAGTGACAAGTTCATTAGTCCGTAATCTACAACTTGAGACTGAGCTGTCTAATCTTCAAAGTTTATGGCCACAACTTTTGGAGAAGAGTTCTGAAAAATTTAGATGTCTGTACACTCTTTTGTGACACTTTGGTTGGTCCTAATTAAGGTATTGTCTAACTATGGACCTGGGACTTTCTCCCTCACAGGCAGGGGGCTTCCAACTTTACCCTTTAAGCACCCTGAAAAACACTGCCTTCAACCATTCAGGAAGAATATGCCACTACTGAAAATTTATTTTCTAACACTGGAAGAGTCTATTTGTTATTTGACAGTTTTATTTCTTCCAGCCATTAGCTAATACGTCACTCAATTTGGCTCCAGCTGAAAATGTAATTTCTAATCTGATGATTGTCATATTTTTTTTGTTTTCTGTGTGTTTCACCCAGTACAAAACTAATCTGAGTTATACGTGGCATTTGCTTTTTTCAGCAATACTGCTCAGCCATTGCTTCTTGGTGAGCTGACCTTCTTGTTTTGTCCCTCCACTTCCTACATTGTGTACAAGGAATTCTGGAGAACTGAAAAGCTGGAATACTTTCTTGAGTTTAATGACAACTCCCAGGATTCTTTTAGGATGGAAAACAAGACTGCTAGATTATAAAAGTGCTGTAAGGATGTAGGATACATTTACTCTAAGTAGCCAGTCTTGCAAAGCCTGAAATTCCACCCCAAACCATGAGGGCAGCACTTGTAATTACCCAGCCGCCAGGTAACAGGTCTCAGCTCCATGTAGATGGAGCCCCCCGTACGCAGGTCCTGCGTGCCCAGCATCTCCCAGTGCTCTCCAGTAAGTGGATCGAAGTCTTTCATTCCAGCCAAGGCCTGGCTCAGATGCACAGATTCAATGATTCTTTGGACCAGCCGGAAGACCTCTTCCCGTTCGTTCAGCAGCTCGTCTTCTTCCGGTTTCTTCTCCTTACCGCTCTGCAAGGACAGGGAGTGTGAACTCTGTAGGCTCCATGTGAAGACTGGAAGCTGCTTTCCCCAAGCCCTGCAGATGCACTGGACTACAGTGTCCAGCACCCTCAGCCAGAATGGCAGCTTTAAAGGAATGGGTGCTAGACAGTGAGGATCTGATACCGGTTCATAGCCTGGGGACCAAGCCATGCTTCCTTGACTTGGTTTCCTCCTTGGAGCCTGCATTCCTGGCCTTTGCATCCAACTGCCCCACCTGCCTGGTTACCTGAAGGCGCGTCTCCTTCCGCATGTGCCCCCTGCCCCTTAAGACCTGGGGCAGAGGCCCTTCTCCGGGAGCCCTCCCTGAAGGTGGCTACCCAGAGAAGGGCCTTCTCTGCGGTGGTGCCCCAGTTGTGGAATTTGCTCCCCAGAGAGGTTCACCTGGTGCCATCCTTTATCCTCTTCGGCACCAGGCTAAAACCATTTCATTCTCCCACTATGTGAAGATTCATTTGTTTTAACTGGGGTTTTATTGTTGGCTGGAAATTTTATTAGGACGCTGTGTTTTATTTTATATCGTCTTGCTGTTAAACTGTCCCGAGATCATGCTAAGGGATGGCCTAGAAAAGTTTTAAATAAATGAATGAAAAAAGCAAAGAGTACTGTGGCCGGGTGACCTATTTTACAGAAGACAGTCCTCTGTTCTGGAGAGCCTGCGGAGAACAGTCCTCTGTTTGAAGGCATCCTTTTTGACAGTGCGTATGTGGCCATCCCTGCAAAGCAAAATAGCCAGGCCAAGGAGCGGCAAGAGTCTCCGGGCTCCCAGCGTACAACTGAACCCTGTATCCCATCCTACCAGTGCTGTGGGCAAGTTGATATAGATGCCATTGGTTTCTCCCAACAAGCATAGCAGAAGTGTAATCCCTGATCCCAGCTTCCTCTCACCTTGCCCTGAGAGCTCCCCTCTCTGGCTCCCTGGGGCTGGAGGAGCTACCTAGTACCCTCAGGTCATTTTGGACTACAATGCCCATCAGTCCCAGCCATCATGAGCAATGGTCAAAGATATGGAAGCTGTCTCTGGAAGACACTGGTCTGTCCAATTGTACCCTAAGAGATCACTTGGAAAATCTAATTATATTGGCATGTCAATTATGTTGTTGTTGTTGTTGTTATATATTACATTTCTATGCCGCCCATAACTGAAGCTCTCTGGGCAGTTCACAACACCCATCCAGTTTTAGAAACATAGAAACAGAGCGAGTCAGAAGGGGCCTCCCGGGCCACCTAGTCTGACCCCCAGCTCCAGCCTGCTCCGCTCATGACGTGCCTACCAGGCCTGACCCTGCTTAGCTTCCAGGATTAGGCAGGATTCTTTCAGCTTTACCACTGGGTTAGACCTCACCCAGAAATATCAACAAACCATTAGGAGTGACCACCTGCTGAGTTTAAGAGCAACTGGACTCTGAAGCAGCACTGGGGAGAGGCCATTCTGGGACACCAAATTCCAATTTTGCCACTTCCTGGTTTTAAATATCCGACTCCCCTAGCAAGCATGCAAGCCTTTTCAGCTCCTTGGTCAGAAGAAATGGCATCAATGCAGGGAGAACAAGAAAAGCAGGAATTCCACTGAGGTCACAATGCACCTGTGCCACCCAGCAAAAAGGTGAGGCTTATTAAATAAACAAACAAAAGCAGCATCGTCTTACAGTCCAGAAAATGAACAGACGATAAAATGTTGATTCTCGCTCTTAATGTTTGCCCTGGGATGGGTGGGTAAATTATGCAATCACAGGAAAACCACAGCACAGGACAATAATAGGCAAAGTTGCTTTTATTCAGGCAGGCCTTTGCGATATTAGCTGGTCTGAAAGGGGGTTTAATCGGTTGGTGCTGTTCATTTCTGCTATTGCGTTTACAATGTGTGTGTTGGACTTTAAGACTTTTTAGAATCTGGATGCTGGTGTTGCCAACCATAGTTGCTGCCCAAAACACCTGAAAAGGGAAACACCAACCACACTCTGACTTGTGGGGAAATCAGGTATCTTGGAGATCTCCTCCTTCGTCCAATTCTAGGCTAGGGATGGTCAGCTGAGAAGAGGCTTTTCTAAGCCCCAGAAGGGTGGTCTGACACGGCCCCTTAGTCAAGCTCTGAGTAATTCAGGGATATTTCTGTAACTCTGCCTTACCACATAATATAGGAACATCTTGTCATCCTGCTGAAGGAACTCCTCATAGAGGAAACTGAGTATCTGGAAAGAACAGGAGAACATCAAAGAGATTTTGTCCAATTCAGGCAAGAGGAACTGACTTTCCAGCCAGAAAAGCCATTGAACCTGATTCACTGCTTTAACACAAAAAAGCATCTTTTGTTCTCAAGCTTGCCCAGGGGCCTGATAAAGCTACATGCAAGTTCCTTCTCCCTTGCCCTGCCCACCATCCCTGCCAGGGGGGGAATGGCTCTGCATCTCTGCAGATGCAACCCTGGGGGCCTCCCATCTGAGCCCGGGGTTGCCCTGCCAGCTTCTGCGCACAGCCCATGCTTACTTCTGAGTAGTCAGGCTTTGCAGTGGCGCCCCCATTGTGGAACACGCTCCCCAGAAAGGTGTGCCTGGCGATGACACTTTTTTCATTTCAGCACCAGGCCAAGCCCTTTTTATTTTCCAGGTTTTTGTTAAGAGTTAACGTGTTTTAAGATAGGGTTTAATCTGATGTAATTTGTTGCCTGATGCAATACGCTCCCCAGAGAGGTTCGCCTGGTGCCGACGTTATATTTTTTTTGGTGACAGGCAAAACCCTTTTTATTTTCCTGTTATTTTAATGTTTATTTGATTTTAACTGGGGTTTTAGTATATTATTGGTCAGATGCTGCGGCGTTTGCTTTATTCTACTTATTTATTGTAAGCCATCCTGAGACATTCTGTAGGGGACGGGATAGAAAAGTTTTTAATTAATAAATAAATTGATAAACAAATACTTCATTTCATTGTATTACCATCCTGAGACTTTTGGTGAAGGACGTTATATAAAAGCTTAGACAGACAGACAGACAGACAGACAGACAGACAGACACATGCATACATACATATTGCCATGAATGAAATGGGAGGGGGATAGAGTATTTTCAACCCCACCCATTTCTGCCCATAGTCCAATCCACATTTGCCTGGGGGCCAGTCCAGACTGAGTGCCGCCCCCAGACGGAATCCTGCCCTCAGGAGGACAAGATTTGTGTACCCGCTGCTCCGCAAGTGATGGCCGTGCTCTATAAAACTCTGCCAGCAGAACTATGCCCGGTTCTTTGGGAAGAACGTATAGGAAGAAATATGTTGCCATGCCATTAAAAAGGTTGGACAGCATGGATTTCTCCTTTCCCCCACGGCAGGCTATGCAATAGGGGTGGCAGGCATGGCATCATGGAATCATAGAATCATAGCCTGTTTCCCCGAAAATAAGCCCTACCCCAAAAATAAGCCCCAGTTAAGAACATCTGCCAGATGGACGCGTTTAGTTCGTCCGTTGCAACACAATTCGGGGTTTGGAGAGGTATGACGTTGTTCCAGAAGATGACAGGACTGAAAAAGATCTGGTCTTATTTGCAGGTAAACCCGGTCGAACCATGGAATAGTAGAGCTGGAAGGGGCCGTGAAGGCCACCGGATCCACCCCCCTGCTGCTGCAGGACACCAAGTGGAAGCTGCACCAAGTCTCGCCATCCCACTTGACTGAACATCCTGGGTTGGTGGCCATCGAAAGGTTTAGCTCCTGCACAGACTTGAGAGCACTGGCGGCCCACCTCCACGCAGTCTGTGTGCGCCACAGTGGCTGGAGCAACACGGCTGGGGGACAGCTTTGGTGCTCACCCCCTGCTGCCGGAAAGGCAGGCTATGGGGCCCAGAACAAGGATGGAATCCGGCACGTGAACGCAGCCCTGCTGGAGCAGACCGAAGGCCCTGGACGTGGGAGCCTGGGCCACACGGGGCGCCACGTACAGTGCGCTTCCTGTGGATAATTTCATGGAGAAAGCATCATTCCCCACCTTGCAGATTTCCTTCTGGGCCTTGAGCACCCAGGGAATCACGTGCCCGGAAGGCAGGAGATTCTGCAAGCTCTTCAGAGTGCTGAGCTTCAGCGGGAGGTGCCAGTTGCTGCTCTGGGTCAGGTACAGCTCGCAGATCCGTTCTCCCATCACGTGGCGCAGGAGGATGTTCCCTTCGCCCAGGGAGCAGAGCATCATGCGCAAAAAGTCCTCCAGGTCGTGCCAGAGGTCAAGCAGATGCACCTCCGTGGAGTAACTCCTGCTCAGCAAGAACTCCCGGAAGGGGCGTCCGGCGCATTTGTCGGCGGTGAGCACCCATGGAAGGAAATCCAAGCACGAGGGGGACTTCACGAGGGTCTTGAGGCCAAGCATGGAGGGGACTTGGACCACCGGGGTGGCGGAGCGCAGCTTGCTGAGGCTGCACTTGTCCACCGCCTCGTCTGCCACGGGAGAGGGCAGCGACTCGCTTGGGCTGCTCCGGTGGGGCGGCGACTCGTCGGAAAGCCCCCTAGCGCTCGCTTCCGGGTTGTCTTCCGCTTGACAGGGGCTTGGGCCCGGAGGGCGCCTTTCGGCCGGACCCTGTCCCTTGTCCGCTGGACTCCTCCTGCATGGCTTCCGCTTCCTCCCTCCTTTGCGTTTCCCTCTGGGAGAAAGGCTTCGGCCCCGGACCTGATCCCAGACCTTCCTCTTGCTTTCCAGGCTGGAGTAGGCGGTGCAGGAAAGGCTGCTGGCCCGAATGCTCATTGGGGGCAGAGGAGACGGGGAGGTCTTGGGCAAGCCGGCCCGACGCAGCCGCTCCTCGTACTCTTCCAGCAGGTGCCGGCACTTGGGCTCGTGCTCTGCACTCAGCCGGCAGTGGATGTAGAAGTTGGGCAGCCAGTAACTCTCGATCTTGAACAGGGCCACTTTCTGCATCTCGCCGAGCACCTCCCTCCGAGTGCCGAAGTGCGGAGGATGATAGGTGGGGGTTTTCAGGAGCGACTCTGGAAAGATCGGGCAGATTAGACGGAGCGGCCTCGTGGGACTCGGAGATCAACAGCGGGAGGACGGGCTTCCCGCCGCCCAGGAGCCCCCTGCCCCCCGGCACGTGGCTGGGAATGACGGGCGTGCACCTTACCGATGGTGTTGTTGCACAGGGTGACAACGGTGGACCCCTCCTGCAGATGGGTGGCCATCAGCACCTGGATCAGCGACACGTAGAGATCCCGCTCGGATTCCTCTGTTTCATCGATGCTGAGTATCCGCTCCACCGCTAGCCAAAACTTGGCCAGTTCTTCTCCTGAAGATCGGACAGAAGGGGGCGGGGAGTTCACCGCAGGGAATACGGCCTGCGTAATTCCCCAGAAAACCTGAGGACCCCGGAGTATCTCCTCTCATTTTTTAAAGATTAAACTTAAATTGCTGCATTGATGTAAAATAGTAGGGATTGTGATTCTTGTTTGAAATGCATTGTTATTTTTATTCCATGAGTCCCTGTATAAACCAGCTGTGCCACCTAAAACAAGCGTCTCTATTCTTCACCTTTAGAGTAAAAACAAGTAAAAAGAACATTTTTATCCAGTTTATTAAGAGGAAGAGTCATGTGGTGTATGGTTGAGATCACAGGACTGGGACTCAGGCGATCTGGGTTCGAGTCCCCGCTCAGCCATGGAGCCAGCTGGGTGACTTTGGGCCAGTCACAGACTCTCAGCCAGACCTACCTCACAGGGTTGTTGTTGTGAGGGTAAGATTGAGAGGAGGGGGAGAATGATGTAAGTCGCCTTGCATTCCTTGGAAGGAAAACAGGCAGGGTATAAATATAATGAATGAAAGAAAGAAAGTTGGGAAGATAAAGGTATAAAACCTAAAAATCCACTTTTATTGAATCAAAGCAATGGGTTGACTCGCTTGGCACTACCTGTCCTGCTTAGAAGTGGTCCTCCCAGCTTGCAGGACGCCATCTTTTCCAGAGTTACCTGAGACTCTTTACCTGGGACGGAACCGGCCACCTTCCACGGTCAAAGTGCAGACGCCATCCATTGCAGGTGGCCCTACCAGTCGAGGGGATGAGCTCTGGGGCCCCAGCTGGCCATTTGTTTCCGCAGGGTGTTGTCTGTGCTCCGCACATTGGGTCTCTTCTGGTTACCTGCCATTCCTTGCAGGAAGGAACGGAAGCGCCACATTCCCCGAGTGCCGGCAACGCATTTCTCGAGAAGCCACTGGTCCGCCTTCTTCCATCTCAGCATCTCCGCTGTAAAGCATGAGTGGAGAGGGCATCATTTGAGGAGGCATGTGGGGCTGGCTTGGGGAATCTGCCCTGTGCCTGGAAATGATTCCTCCTCCTCCTCCTCCTCCCCCTCACATTATGTTTCTAAACAGCCCATAGCTGAAGCATTCTGGGAAGTCCCCCATCCAGATTTTAACCTGGCCCGACCCTGCTGAGCTTCTAAAACTAGGCAGGTTCAGGCACTTCAGACCATGTGGAAGCTTTGGCAGTGGAAAGGCTGTGCACAGGCCTGGCCAAAATGAAGCCTTTCAAGAAATATAGTTGTTTGACTGCTATCAAGTTTTACCTTTTTTCAATCTCCTTTTTATTGTTCTCAGGTTCCGTTGTTCTAACCACTGTGCACTGTCCTTGAAGTGTTTTTGGCAAACAGGATGGGGTATAAACACTAACTCTAAATAAATGTATTTTCTTTTTTCGGCATGTGGCCAGTGCACCCTGCCTTGATTGCATGTCCATACTCCTCTGCCAGTATGTGCTTTTCTTTCTGTGTTATTTGTGGTGAGAAGGACCACAAGTGTTCTTAAATGCAGGAACTGGCTTTGTTCTTACTTGGAGCTTTTTATTGATTTATTTATGCAGGCCCAATGGAAACTTCTAAGTAATGTTGCAATAGTCTGCTTATTTCCCAGTAAACTTATTGAACTGGTGATACAGAAGGCACAAGCATCCTTTAGTCTCCTAGCAATATTTCATCTCCCTCAACTCACTCTCTCTCTCTCTCTCTCTCTCTCTCTCTCTCTCTCTCTCTCTCTCACCTGAGCCTTAAGAAATAGGTGCCATGTGTGGTATTAGAAATTTAGTTCCCTTTGGAAGTGTCTTTTTAATAGTATCTTTGTAATATTTGTGTTCTTAAGAAAGATAAGCACAGATGTATTTGAAATAAACTGATAGTTCATTGATGGAAGTAGCTGGTGCGAGTCCCCCACCTACCAGCTATAGAAACACTCCATTTTCTCTCTGCCTCACTCTTTCTGCCGCAATTAAAACTGCAAAAATGCCTTTTTTGGTCTCCTGCTGCCCCCTGCCTGTCTCTGGAGGAGCTACACCTCCTGCTTGGAAGGAGATCGCATTCCAAATACGGTTTCTCAGCAGTCGGGAAATCATTTGCTTCCCGTAATGAAATATCAACTTAAGATCTCAGCCACTCAAAAGGTGGCTTGCCAGCAACCTTGGCAGAAGTAACACACATTCAGTCAACAGGCTTATTCTTCGCTTCTTGTCGTGTGCTCTGTTTTCGTGGGTCCTATTATTATTTCCAGAATCCCAATCATGCCTCCCCTTTTGGAAAGCAGTCAAGAAAAGGTCAGGCCCATGGCTTTGCACCTGGGTGTTTCTGGTCATCTCTCACCTGCCTCTGGAGACCGGATGAAGCTGATGAGCTCCTCGCAGAGAAGATAATGAAGGCACAGGTTGGTTTTGTAGAAGAAAGGCAGGCGGTGCTTTTCCATCCAGTTCATCAGCCCCTTGTGCTTTGATGCCTATATCCAGAGTCAGGGTTAGTGAGCTTGAAGCCCTGATTCCTTCATGTGGTGCCCCGAATCTCTGAAAAGCCAGTTTTGTTACTTCCTAACGATCCAGGGTATTTGCTGAAAGAAAGATCCGGTGATCCAGATGCTTCCGATCACCCTGCGTTACCTGGCTTTTTGCTCACAGGTATTTCGCCCTTTGCTGCTCCCCACACCCAAATCTTTGTGCCTGCAGGTTTTTTATTTTTAAATCAAATGTCCTTCTCTCCCTTGTCCATACATTTGTTTCTACAAATTGGGGGTGTCCTTAAGAGACGGGGTTCTTTAAAGATCCATGCACGCACGCACACACACACACAGACGTTAGAGCGTATATAAATGAAGGCATGTGCATTTGTGCATTTTGGTCCTGTGGGCCTGAATCGTGAATCTTTTCAGTCCCCAGCAGCATCCCTGCCTGTATTGTCCCCGGAAGGGTGAGGAGACGTAAGGCGCGATCTTAGCAATGATCCGTGAAAGAGCTGGGTGACCCACTGGCTTCCTTCCACTGGTTGCATCATGTGACATGGCAACCTGCCCAATGAAAACGTTATGCAGGGCAGGTTGGCCTTGGATCATCCCATGGTGCGCTTGGCCGATGATTGCGCTCACCAAGGACTGTCCCCTGCTTCCCCAGAAGGCGGCCCACGTTCCAGAACTGACCGAGAAGCCAAGAGCTGACTGTGAGACACGAGCAGGGAAGGCAAGGGAATCGCTGAGGTCCTTAGATCCTTTAGCCATATGGCGGAGCAATCTACTCCTAGCGAAGGCCACCAGATTGCAAGCCTGGTTTCATGCGGATTTCGCTGTGCCAAACTCCTGGCACTTTCGGTGCCTTCCCTCACCCTGTGCTGAAGATTATTAGCTCTGGAAAATTTGGACATTTACCAGGTTGCAGGGTAGCTCTGGCCAAAGGTACCACTTGCGGGTGTTTCCCATGAAAATGGGCGTCTGGCCAAATACCTAGAGAGAGAGAGAAAGGCCTGGGTGGAGATGAGAGCATTTGGGATTCGTAGTTCTGCTGAGATGCCATTAAACAACAACGCACAAGAGGAACCAATTATGGCTCAGACAAGCTATTGTGTTTAAGAGAGCTGGAAGTGAGGTTTCACTACTGATGGGGAACATGTGTATTTCTTTGATCCCACTGCAACCTCTGGTCAAACAAGTTCCATAGGTTTTTAGCAACACACGAGGGGACCCCTGTTGTTATCTGGAATCACAGATAACGGGGTGGGGGGGGGGGACAGTTCCTTTCTATATTCCACTTTCATGGTGGGGCTTGGGAGATGACCTCTGCAGACTGGATGAGGACCCCAAGGGTTGGTAGTCCCCCATCTGTGAGCCCAATGGGAGAGAATACCTGGGCGAATTGGAGGAAATGACAGCTAGTCCAGATAACCAGTCCTCTAGCAAGTGGGGCTGAGTAGACTCCCATTCCCCCTGACTTCCACCCATGAACAATAAAATCAACTATTGCCGGCGGAAGCTTGTCCTTTGTTTGTTTCCTAGTCACAAGCATGACAGATTATCAGAAGCGGCTTATAGGCAGCATGAGATGCTAGGCTGGTGAGGGATACTTACAGGAAGATTCAGGAATGTGTTGAAGAAATCGGCAAAGATTTCATCTTGCAGGAGCACCGTTAAGTGCTTTTTGGCCATCAACTCTGCGGAGGAGAGGGAAACCATAGTTGCAGTTATCAAGCTCAAAATGGAAGTCCTGCTCTGGTGTAAGATGTCCACTCTTCTATCCTTCTCTGCCCCATCCCCTATCGATTTGGATGCATTGTGATACATATTTGCTTCCTTTCCAGGTATAGCACATGCAAAGTCCCAACTCAATGTATTGCTGCTGTCGTTTGACCGACAGAGACGGCTACATACTGGAACGTGGGCACAGCAGAAGACTTCCTTGTCATCTTGGACTTGCTAGAGATCCTCATCTTTAAGTCTGGTTCTATCACCTCCTGACCTCAGTAGAAGCAGTGTAGAATTCATGGATATGAGCTCTTTATCTGGTCCATTAGTTACCATTCTCTGGACTAGCTGTCATTTCTAAACTATTTTCAATGGCGGCCTAGAAGTTATCTGAAAATGGAGAACTGTAGCAAGGCCTTCTCTGTCCAGGAGTGGCCACCATCAACATGGTGACCTCCATGGATTGAAGGTCTTCTATGCCACAGCGATGACATAAATTTACACAACACCATGAACACAAGTTTGGCCAAATGGAGGGCAGGCAACTGTTTTGGGCTGCTGGTACATTTGACAACATGGGAAACTGTGCTGGGCTATACTACAAAATGGCTGCCATGGAATTTGTGGCAACACACATGGAACCTGCCCAAAAGATTGAGTACAAGGTGAATCAGATCCCCAGTGCATGAAATGACAACACCAACCAAAAACCCAATCCTAGCAGCCACTAAGAAAATACGTATATTTGTTTATTTTGAAGTGGGAAGGTTAAGGCCCATCATGGGCATCAAGAATTCTCTGGGGGAATGAGCACAGTGTTTCCAGATTCTGCACCATACTGGCAGAAATGCTTGCAGGGTCGACACACATACATAGGTTTTTCCTGATTCAGTTTATCATTCTCCCCTTCACTTCACAAGATGTTGAACATAAGCCCAAAGGATAAGATGCTGTAAGCTCGTCTTTCTTTAGTTAGATAAACAGCTTTCCGCAATTCTGAATTTTTGGGACAGAAACCAAAAGCAAATCTCTACCTTGCACAGCACAATATGAATAACCTCGTGACCCTTTGTCCCCTGAGTCCCAAAGGCAAGCCATAAAGAGGCAGGTCTTGGGTTTGCTTTTGAAAATACTGGGGCATGGACACTGCAGGTCTTTTGGAACCGGCAAGGAAGAAGGCCCATAACTGAAGGGCAGTGGCTGAGAGGTGTGTGTCATCTGGGCAGTGGAGTGGAGACCCACGTTTGAACTCTGTCCCTTCTCCATGCAGCTGTGGGAATACCATGGCGGTCCGTCACCTTGTGGACCTCACAGAATCATCACAAGGACAAGCGGGCCCTGTACCCTAGCAGAAGGGCAGGATCAAACGATGATTGGCAAATAATGGGTCTACTCACTGGTTCTATTCATGTCCAGCCTGCTTTTCGGCAGTATCGAATATTGCAGCCTTGGCAAGATGACAGTTCTACCCAGAGTTCTCTGCCCTGTTGTGATGCGCCGGAGTTCCACATTCTACCCAATCAGCCCTTCTCAAATCGGGGCCTTCTGGAAAGCGCAGGCTGCTGCCCCCGCCATGTTTTGCATACTATAGACCTGCCAGGCACACTTCCCCCTTCCTACCTGGCTTAGGAATTCTCCCAAGGGGTTCCCGGGAGCAGCAGAGTGAAGGAACGCTGCTTTCCCTGAATGGGATGGCTTCAAGCTGAACATCAGCAGAGGGGCACCACATGCTTGCAGGCTCTCCCCCCAACCCCCCCTCCCCACTCTCCAGGCATCTTAATAACTTGCCAGGGAGAAGGGAGAGCAAAACCGTTCTCGTCGATCAACATGTAGCAAGCTTCACATGCGTTTCGGATCAGTGGGTACAGGCCAGGTCACATCTCATCCCATGATTAGGCTGCCTGTATCGATGGACACCAAGCAGTAGCCAAGGACAGAAATGCTACGGACGTCACTTCGGCTTTTCAAAACTCTGTAGGTAACTTTTCTTTTGTTGTTTACTTGCTAAGTCATGCCTGACCCATCGCGACCCCATGGACAACATTCCTCCAGGCTCTCCTGTCCTCCACCCATCCCCCAGAGTCCACCCAACCCCACACCCACCACCCCAGGGACCCCATCCAGCCACCCCATCCTCTGCCGCCCCTTCTCCTTTTGCCGTCGATCATTCCCAGCATCAGGGTCTTCTCCGGTGAGTCCTTCCTTCTCGTTAGGTGGCCAAAGCATTTGAGCTTCAGCTTCAGTACCTGACCTTCAAAAGAGCAGTTGGGGTTGATCTCCTGTTTTCATGGCAGGGATACTGAAGTGGGTTGCCATTTCCTTCTCCAATGGATCACCTTTTGTCAGAGCTCTCTGCTATGACCTGCCTGTCTTGGGTGCCCCTGCACGGCATAGCTCATCGCTTCATTGTGATATGCAAGCCGCTTTGCCGTAGCAAGGCAGTGATCCTGGAAGGAGATACATGATATACACATGTGCAAAACAGGCCTGCTGAGGTGGCCTCTGGCATGGATGCCCAAAACCAGAGAGATGGCAGATGAAGGTGGGCGGGGGGTGTGAAAATCAATCCTGATTTAACATGGCAATTTCACATTGAAAATATAAGGAAGGGAGTCTTGGTTAGGTCCAAAAACTCAAGGAGCTAGAGAAGCTGCAAGTTCAGAGCAGGGTGAAATGTGAAAAATAGAGAGCCCCCACCCACCCCTCCGTCACCTCCTTGAAACAAAAGGAAACCTTGGAACCTGCAGCAGGAGGAACTTCTGTTTGGCAGGGAAACAGAAAAACCAAGGAAGGGCAAGGAAGAGTTCAGCACGGGGCTCGGTGCCATAATTTTAAATTGCATGTGTTAAACCGGGGTTTTTAATATTGTTATAGGTAAGCTGCTTAGAGGCATAGTTTGGGCACAGAGCTAGTTAGAAAAATTCTCTCCCGTGCTCCTTAATTCTTAATACCCTGAATTTATAAGGACTGAGCAGGGCTGCCAAGGGCAGGATATTTTGGATGGCGTTATTCAGAGGGTTGCCTTAAGTCACAATGACAACATGTGGCAGAAAAAAAGCTTAGCATCCTCAGTTTAACAGTGGGTGGCGCAAACAGATCAAAAACCATGGCTTGCAATAGCAGAGTCTTAAGCTGCAGATGAGTTGGTGTGGAAAGGGCAGCCAACAATCTCTTTGACCAGCTAAGAATTGTTAATATGAGGGATTTCCTTTCCAACTCTGGATTACGGTTGCTTATCAGCCCGGACATAGATGTTGCAATAACTCCCAATTACTTACACACAGTTACTGACGTACGTGGATTAAGTGCAGAACTGGAACTCAAGGACAATTTAATCCCAATTTTAGAGGCACCGTGTCCCACCCGCTCACGCACCACTGACACGGAGTGGCGGGGGCTTTTGCGCACTGGTGGATCTGTCCAATGAGCACGGCATGCCGGTCCCCTCTGAAGGATTCTAAAATGCTGTAGGAATTAGAGTCTGTACAGAGGTACTCAAGGGAAGCAGCAAGAAATGGTCCTGGTAAGAAATGGTAGCCCAGTCTTCCAGGAAGTATAAATTCAGCTTATGTTCGTTAAACAAATATACCCCCAACCCCAGCAGCCACCGCAAATCAGTCCTGTGTGTCCAGCTCATCTTGTGTTGCAGTGCAGGAATAGGTAAGCTTTTAATGTTTTAAAATAGTGTTTCATTTCCACAGTCTTTCAACAAAATGAAACAACAGCACAAATAGGGGAGGGGAGGGGAGGGAACCGGCTGAGTATGTAAAATAAGACTAGAACCACAAACATATAGAGGGAAAAAAGGGGTGGAATAAAGCAAAACAAAAACACAAAAGAAGAACAAACATCAAGCCACGCAGTAATGATCAGAGATACCTTGAACTGGTCTAGAAAGTATTCCTAGAATTATATATGTACACTTGTGTGCTCACAGATATGTGTGCAAATATTCAAAGCTCCTGCTCCACATTACGAGTATGGGCTGAGGCAGGGTGACCGAACGTCAGACGCTTGCCGAGATGAAGCTGTCGCTGGACGTCTGCTCTCTCTCAGAGTGCCGGTGTGGGGAGGCCCTTGGTCCACTGCGTGGATGAGGGAGGCGACTCATCTTTCCACCCCTGTGCCACGGAAGGGCCACGTGCCGTGATAGACACCCAGATGTGCATACACGCCAGTCGCATGTACTTGTGCACACGCCCCACCCCAAGCTTTCCCTGTTAGACCCATAAGCAAGAGTGATGTAAAAAAACCCCACCAAGTCCAAAGAGGCCTCCACCTTGCGATCACGTTGGAGCGCATACAATGTTGTGTAAGGTGGTCAAGTCATCTCACCCCACGATTGACAGCCTTCCAAAATGCCCCGTTCATGACAGCTCCTTTCAATCCTTCCAGGTTCTAGACTGAAGTTTCCTTTATGGATTCAGCCCATCCCATGCTTGGTCTTCCCTTTCATTTTCTGCCTTTGACTTCCCCTGGCATTACTGTCTTCTCCAGAGAGTCGTGCCTGCTCACGATGCACCCGAAATAGGACAGCCTCCGTGTTGTCATTTTTGCTTCCAGGGAACCTCTGCGTTGGTTTGATCCATAACCCCCACATACATTCTTTTAATGAGAGTTTATTTGCCTGGCATCTCCCCCCCCCCAATAATTAAGGCACCCCTGGGTCTTTTGTTCACAAGCAGGCACTGTATTTTCAGCATCACCCTTTGCAGTAAATGCCGTGTCTTGAATTTCAGGTGACAGGGACAAACCGCTCTCTTTCCATATTATATGACCATCGGATATTGTACGAAATATAGCACTTTTTGGACTATTTGTGTGCTAAACCTTAGATTTCTATTCCATGTACTATGAGTATGTTAATGCTTCTGGTGCCTCTGTAAGGAAAGTCGGTCTCAAGCACATGAGCTCTGCCAGAGCGGCGTTTCCTGCTTGCACCGTTTCAAGGCATGTTCTGCGACATGGCAAAGGTGATGGTTCCAGACGCC